GATTAACGTACATTATTTTGTGCATAAAAAATCCACGTAGTTTCCTCACAGCACAGGGAGGTGCTGCCGCCGTGTGGTAATCATCATTAGTGCAGTTGAAATGAGCTAAAACCTAAAACATATTAAATCACTAGTTTTTGACTAACTTACCCATCAAATGTAACGGTTTCCTGGGATTGTGCTCAAAAGTAACTAAAACTCTGATCGTCAAAGGCACCACAGACATAGATTAGCAGAAGCGGCTGGATTAGGTGTTACTGTTTCCCCAGTTGAAAAACTATTTTCCTCTGCGTTCGCTGACTTGTGTAGCCAAATCCTGCAGTTTTTCTTAAATAAAATTACTGTAATCAGAGCTCAGATTCACCAAACCAACCATGTTCCTGATTCATTTATCCCCTCTCATGTGCAACTTCAAAGCTTTCAGCCCATCTCTTTGCCCTATCTAGAAAAAACTGTTGCAGCCATGAAACCCTCTGGCTCCCCAGATGATGTTATCCCACCTCGTCTCCTGAAAGAGGTGTTTCCTTTAATTAGCAATAGCGTGCAAGGCATTATAAATAGTAGCTTGACATTGGCTGAAGTTCCTCATGCCTTTAAACACGCTGTTCTACAGCCAATCTTGAAAAAACCCAGCCTTGATCCCACCGATTACTATAATCTCCGACCAATTTCCAAATTACCGTTTTTATCTAAGTTCCTTGAGAAAATAGTGTATGAACAGTTGCTGAAACATCTAAATGAAATTCAGGTAATGGACATCTGTCAGTCTGGTTTCAGACAACAACACAGCACTGAAAATGCTCACGTTCGGGTGTTTAATGACATTTTTCTGGCTTTAGATTCAGGTTTCCATGTGGTTCTGGTACTTTTGGATCTATCCACAGCATTCGACACGATCGATCATGACATTTTGATCACAAGACTTCACACTTGGGCTGGCATTTCAGGCTCAGCCCTAGATTGGTTTAGGTCATACTTTCGTAACAGGTCCGCTAGAGTCATGTTGGATGGCTGTTCATCCGAGTCACAGCCTCTACGTTGGGGTGTCCCACAAGGTTCAATTCTCGGCCCGTTACTGTTCAACCTCTATATACTGCCCTTAGGAGCCATTTTCAGAAAGCACGCTGTCTCATACCATCTTTACGCTGACGACTGTCAAATCTACTTTTCATTTAAGCCAACTCAGTCAACGTAAGTTCTGTCTGATTGTATCCTTGAGGTCAAGCAATGGCTAGCTGATAACTTCCTCCATCTTAATGACTCCAAGACTGAGTTATTCGTTTTCAGTCCTAACAGTATCACGGCTACTCATCAACCTGACCTCAACTATCTCTCACCTAATGTATCCTCTGTAATCTCCAACCTTGGAGTAAAAATGGACCAGGCTCTGAAGATGGATGCCCAGGTCAATAACACAGTTAAATCATGTTTTACCAACTAAGACGCATCTCGAAACTAAAGCACATCCTGAGCGTCCGTCTTCTGACATCTGTGGTCCACACTTTCATCACTTCAAGGCTGGATTACTCTAACTCCTGCTTATACGGCATCAGCAAAGCAGCTCTTTCTAGACTTCAGCTGGTCCAGAATTCAGTGGCTAGGTTCCTGACTGGAGCTGACAGAAGACAACACATTTCACCACTTCTGAAATCTCTCCACTGGTTGCCCGTGCAGTTCAGGATAAATTTCAAAATTTTGCTTCTGACTTACAAATCCTTGAACCATCAAGCTCCTCCATATCTTTGTGAACTTGTCCATTACTACAATCCGCTGCGTGCTCTCAGGTCTGAAGATAAGCTCCTCCTAGCTGTTCCGAATGCATGTTTAAAAAGCCGTGGAGAAAGGGCTTTCTCTGTCTGTGCACCCAAACTGTGGAACGCATTACCACTACTAGTGAGGCTAGCACCAACAGTAGCATTTTTAAATCACGCATGAAAACTCACTACTTCAACCTAGCGTATACCACATAATTATGAACCTCACTTACATCTGCACTGTTTAAAAATGGAATGCACAATATCAACTTCCGTATTATTGGGGTTCTTTTTTTAAATGTTTTTCTTATTTTTTATATTCTCCCTGTGTTTTATTGATTTTTAACTGTTAGTTCTAGGAATTTGTTGTTTTTCCTTTTTATCTTTTATCGCTGTTCTACATGACGGTCTGACGCCGGTTTAATTAACTAACATTTTTAGTGTACAGCGCCTTGTTTGGTTGTAATGCCTTGTTGAATGCGCTTTATAAATAAAATGGTATGGTATGGTATGGTACTTTACGTTATATTTTGAATGAATTAAAAATTAAACTGTCTAGTTTATCAAAAATACTGTTCAGCAAGTGATCAGATGAATTGGACTAAATTGCAGAGTCCTTATTTGCCATGAAAACTAACGTAACATTTCTTTTTCATTTGTGAAAAAGGCTTCAGGTCACCCACTAAAAAGGCAGCTATGTCAGTGTGGGGGCCCAAAGCTAATGTGGCAAGGTGAAGAAACGAGAGCCCGGGCGGGATTCAATCCCCAGACTGCCAGGTGAAAGTCACGGATGCCATAGGGACATCCCTTTGGCCAAGTAGCCTGGGCGCATGATCAATTGGGTCACAGTGACTGGACGCTCACACTGTCACACTAACAAAAGCACAGGGCCCTCTGCAGATCTTGTTCTGAACCTTTTTTTATCCTTACATAGAAAAAAAGCATTAGTGCAAGCAGCAGCTTCTTGCTTTTCATTTGCAGCTCTGGCTTTTCGTGGCATGTAACTTAATAGACACCCTGTAATCAGAGGGTTGTTGGTTCATGTCTAGTCTGTTGCAATCGTGTCCCTGTCATTTTCATCTGAGAACACTTCAAATGTAAACCTGGCTTGAAAAAGTGTACAAGCAAAAGGGATAACTGCACCCTGGAGAGGATAGTGAAACAAACCCCATTCAGAAATGATGGGGAGATTCACAAAGAGTGGACTGCAGCTAGAGTCAGTGCTTCAAGAACCACCACGCACCACTCACTCTCTTGCACTTTTTAAATCAAAACTCAAAACCCACCTCTTCACACAAACTTTTACCACATAGTTTTAATACATAGTTTTAAATTTTAGCATCTTCTGATTGGAGTGGGAGGATATCTGGTTTTCCGGAAATTTGGGAAGACGGGAGCGATTGGAGGGCGACCCACACCCACGGAAAGCACCGTCCGTGTGGAGACCTCACAGACTGGGACGTTACTCGAGGTGAATCGTAAGCTGGACAATGTTCTAGCTGCATTACCGGTATTAGTGCGCAAAATGGATGTCATCTCGGAGAGGGTCACCGGACGGTGTGGAGATGTTTAAAACCTGAATTGGCTTCACTGGAGGACTTGAATGATCAGTTAGACTTCAAGGCAGAGAGGAAAATTATCTCTGCCTGACCCAAACAGTCTTGTAATCCGAATCTGACGCCATGGCAGCCTTGTGAATGCCAACAATAAATCCCCACGAAGGAATGCAGACAGATGCTGTGGAAACCCGACACCCCCCCCCCCCCCCCCCGCACCTTCGGATTGGTGGACTTCAGCCTGGCGAGGTCATCAACTGCAGGTATCAATGTGCTCTGCGCTCCTCCCAAGATCTCCCTCCCACCTGTGGCTACAGTGGCTGAGCGCCATAGGGCTGCTCTCGCTGGGGAGGCAGGATCCTCTCGGTGTCTCATGTTGTGAGCTGTGATGTTCGTGCTAATATGTTTGAGGTGTTTTTTTTTTGTTTTTTTTTTGCATAGTAAAGCTACACCCTGCCGGGAGTAACTCTGGTATGCCTTTTTTTCCCTCCCCCCCAATTTATCCTCATGTGATACCCTTTTCATCAAATTAATGGTAGCGCAACTCTTGTTGCGAATGACCACAGTACCAATTCTTCTGTACTGAAACAATTGCCCCTCGGGGATGATTAAAGTTTTTTTGAATTTGTTTTTACATATTTCTGTACTGTTTTTCTTGTTTTACTATTTTTCCCCATTGTTGTAGTGTCCTTGGGTGTCATGAAAGGCGCTGTTAAATAAAATGTATTATTAACCACCAGCCAGACGTGCAAGCCATGGTTTCAGCTGTTGCACTCCGAGTGTCAAGCCACTCTTGAATAAGACATCAAAAGCATCTCACCTGGGCTAAAGACAAAGGACTGGACTGCTGCCGAGTCGTCCAGTTATGTTCTCTGATGAAAGTAAATTTTGCATTTCCGTTGGAAATTAAGATCCCAGAATCTGGAGGGAGAGGAGAGGAACAGAATGAACGTTGCTTGAGGTCCAGTGCAAAGTTTCCAGTCAGTGATGGTTTGGGGTGCCATGTCATCTGCTGGTGTTGGTCCATTATGTTTTCTGAGGTCCAAGGTCAAAGCAGCAGTCTACCAGGACAATTTTAAGCACTTCATGCCTCCTGCTGCTGACCAACTTTATGTACACGAGATTTCATTTCCCAACAGGACTTTGCACCTGCACGGTGTCAAAGCTACCAGTACCCGATTTAAGGACCATGGTATCCCTGTTCTTGATTGGCCAGCAAACTCAACTGACCTTAACCCCACAGAAAATCTATGTGGTATTATGAAGAGGGAGATGCAATAAACCAGAAGAGCTGAAGGCCACGATCAGAGCAACATGGGCTCTCAGAACACCTGAGCAGTGCCACAGACTGAAATCCACGCCTCACCGCTTTGCCGCAGTAATCCAGGCCAAAGAAGTGCCTGGACATGCTCCAAAATACCCGTTTTTATCATTGGTCTTGATATTCCATTATGAGACACTGAATTTGGGATTTCTATTAGCTGTCAGTTATAATCAAAATTAAAAACAAACATTTGAAAAATATCAGCCTGTGTAATGAATGATGACTAATATACAAGATACTTTTTGAATGGAATTACTGAAATAAACCTTTTCATAATGTAATTTTATGGCCAGCACCTGTAGATAAACTGGATTAGTTGCTTTCTTTGTGGAACATTAAGAGCATGAGAGGCACAATAATAGAAGCTTGAGTTCAGACAGACTTTATTTTTGTGTGTAAGAATGTTACGTTACACGTTCTCATCACTAAAGATAAGAAATCCGTACATACAATCTGTCCTATTAGTAACAAATTAATAAACATTTACTGACCGGCTGCTGTCAGGCTCAGCTCGCTGAAGGGAGGAGAGCAAGTATAGAAAGACATCAGTCAAAATTAGAACCAAAACATTTTGTGAAAATTAAATCATAGATTTTAAAACAGACAAAAAGAAAATAAATCAACAGTACAAATATCAGGGCACTGGATAAAAAAAACCAAAAGGGTCTCAGAGTATTTCAAAGCAAAGCTAAGACCTCGATCATATGTAAAATGAATTTGTTTAACTTAAGAGGAATCCTGGTATTCCTACCAAAATCAGGGAAAATACAAAGTGGATGAAATAAAAAACCAGTAGGAAGCAAGAATAGACTCTAGTGCTGCCACGAGTCATCCCACTGATACGACGGAGCCATAAACAAATGATTACACTTCTCCAAACTTTACTTACGTGGAAGTAAACTTAAAGCTACGAAAAAAACCCAAACCTGTTCCAAACCTTCATCCATAGGCTTCATGTAGAAGGCAGCATTTCACCCCTTAATTAAAAACAGCTCCAGTGACACCAGTCAGGCTCATAAACAACCAGTATGAATCCATCTTCAGAGCAACAGGTGCACCTGTCCTAATCTTTACCATCTGCTGAGGCAGAGCGGGAACGTGAGCGGGATCTGGATCCAGATTCTTTGTTTTGAGGAGGAGCGGGTGAACGTGAGCCGGATTTGGAGCGGGACTTGGAGCGGGACTTGGAGCGGGATTTGGAATGAGACTTGGAGCGAGACTTGGAGCGAGACTTGGAGTGGGACTTTGAGCGAGACTTGGAACGGGACTTGGACCTAGACGGAGATCTGGCTGCAGGTGTGCTTCTTCCTGATGACTTCTTCGCTGGCGTTTGGCTGTGAGATCTGGAGCGGCTCCTGGAGCGGCTCCGGCTCCGGGAACGGCTCCTGGAGCGGGAATAGCTGCGGGAGCGGCTCCTGTTGCAACAGAAGCAACAACAAAAATCATTGATATAGGAAAAACACTCTTAAGAAAGATCCAAAGTTTCCCCCTTTCAGGAATAATGTGTGACTTTTTTAGAAATCTGCAAAGGTGTAACTTCTTGAGCGCCGCTCAGCATTAGCATCAGACATTCACCTATGTACAGATGTCAATCACAGCATGCACAAGACACAGAAGTTGGGAGAAAGGTGTGAGGTTAAATACATATTCCACCTAGATGGGGTCACCCGAGAACAAAACTGGGTTTCTGCTTTAAAGATACCCCCACCAAAAACATAACTTACCTCTTGCTGTCCTCAAAGATCTTCAGCTTACGTCCATTCAGCTCTGTTCCATCTAGCTTGGAGATGGCATTCTTCATGTCAGAGCGGGATGCAAACTCAACCACCCTGCATTCAAACACACAATCAGCATTTCACACCAACAGGAGGATCATCTGATAAAAGAGCAGCTCACCCTTCATTTTTAGTGGGTCTGTGTGCGTCCACAAATGTAACTTCACCTGCTTTTCTCATCAGGTCTTTCAGGTCCTATTTCAAAAGCATAACGCACACTTAGTAACAAAATGAAACAAGAAGTGTCACTGTGAGCCTTTTCCACCCTGAAAGGAAAAATTAATCACAAAGCAGTAACAAACTACACATACATGTTCTGTAATCTAACTCTGAGCTTTTCATATGTTCCCATTTCAGCGCAAACCATGTAAACGAAAGAGCCAAACAGTGTTGAAGGCTGGGAAGTAGGGCTGCACGATATTAGGAAAACCTGCGATATTTGTTAACAGTGCTTAATATTGTGATATCGATATTACTCGCGATAAATGAACAAATACTAAAGTATGCAGTGTTGATGTCGTCTGGCGTGTGATGTCTGCTCTGGGTTCAAAGCAAACAAAAACTAATGCATGACTTCCATTACAACATAACATTTTTATAGCAAAAATATGCAGCTGCACCTGCTACTGTATTAGCAGCAAAACAACAAACTGCATGCATGCAGTTTCTCAGTGACTTTAAAACATCACCTCCACCATAAAACTTTCTGATGCTCCAAATACAGAAAAACATCCCTTACCAGGGTTTTTTGAATAAATAAAAACATCAAAAAATAAGTTTAAATGTTAAATAATAGTTAACATCACTTAAATGCAACAGCAAATTCTCTCATTGCTACTGAACATTTTCTCCACTTATGTGGTCATGATATAAGGCTGTTGCTGTAATTGGGAAGTGAACTGTGCTGGGCCAAACTAGGAGAATATTGAGATTTTCTGAGGGAACAACAATTGTCTACCTTTCAGAAGAGGAACTGGCAAAAAAACTACATGGAAAATATGTGACAACGTAGTTTTTAACCCCAAATTGAACAAGTTTACCTAGATCTTAAAATGCAGCTCAGATGATGAAACTGCAGCTACGATTATGATAACAAGCTAACAAATTGAACTAGCTCCTCTAAGATAACCGGCTAGCAGAGCTTCTGACTGACAGTTTATGTGCAGCAGCAAATCAACTGTCCTGATTAACAAGGTTATAAAAGCTCATAAATGAAATGTGTGGGGGAACTTTTCCAGGCCCTCTTTAGCAGGGTGGGACTGGGAGGAGAGTGCTGTAGCCTTTTAGCTGGAAGCTAACCGGAGCCTGGGGCTAACATCACCACCCGGTGGAACACTAGCGACATGAAGGTGGGTTGGTTCACCGGCACGTGTCGGAGTCAGCCCGGTAAAAATGATTAACGACACAGAGTGGACTCACGTTCACGTTTGAAAGCAGCGCTGATTCCAGAAACCTCAGCACAAAATTGTGTTCGTTGCTCTGAGCCAGCATGACGAACAACGGAACGGCGCCGCTAACTCGGTTTGGGTGTTGCTTTCCATCCTAAGGGTCTACGTAGGGGGCGGGCGTATTACCTAAACGGACCCATCTGATTGGCCGCATATCAGAAGGGCTACATTTGATTGGTCAAATAATACTTCCGCGTAAAAAACAGAGCTGGTTTACGAAAAACTGATATATGACACGGATGGAAATGTTTGAACCAAACATTTATCGCTGTTTTTGCCGTGCTTTGCGATGGGCCTATCGCACGTCCTGTTATCCCGATGACGACAATTTTTCAATATATTGTGCAGCCCTACTGGGAAGTTTGGCCTTTGTATTTTATTATCAATGTTTAACTCAACAAAATCAAATCTGAAAGTGTGTGATGTTTTAAGACAATCCGAGTTTAAAACTCCAGATTTTTTTTGTATGATCAGAATCTCTACAAGTTTGTGTTGTGTCAATGTTGTGTTTTTATTTAGATCTGAAGACCCAGTATGACAAAAGTAGGTCTATGTGCTGTTCTTACAGTAATCCTACGTTGGCTCAACAAGAAGTCAAGTGTTTACATGATTTCTTTGTGACTAACTTTCTACCCCTTTACCACCCGACCCTGAAAGAACCCAATCAACTGAGTTTTATGCTACTTACCGTTTAAAACCCAGGGAGACATTAGCATAGAGCCACTTGTCCAAATACCAAATGGGAACCAATGCAGTGTAAAGCCCTTGAGCAACGCTCTCGAGAAACGCCCTCAGCATCCGGCCTCCACAAGTAAGGAACCACCAGAGAGAAAGTAGGGGGTGCGGAGTGTGCCCGACTCAACACCCCCCCAGCTCCATCAGCCACAGAAAAAGACCCAAATAGGAGACTGTAGGGGATGGTGGGTTTGAGGGGGTTACAGCAGTCGGAGATGCCAGCCCACAGAACCTCCAGACTGTGGCTACGGCCCTCCTAAGGCTACCGTATCCTGCGCTAGACCAGACCACTTTCACCCGCTACGGGGCCCAGCCAAGACTTTAGACCGGCAGCAACTGCGTGTAAGGAAAGGCACCAAATGAACACTATTCAGGAGAAAAAAAAACCAGCAGAGGGCGCTAAAATTTCTATCACACCAGTGGAGGGCGTTCTTTTTTTATTACCTCTGATTTAAAGGAAACCATATCAGAGGATCTGTTTATTAAAAAAAAAAAAAAAAAAAAAAAAGAAAATATAGTTTTGTTGAAATGTTCATCATCAACAGTAACTAACGCTGTGTGAAAATAAGGGTGGGCTAGTGAGAAAAAACTAAAACTAGGGATTCAATGAGTATCAATAATATCTACAAGTAAAAAAAATAAAAAATCTTTACACCAATGCATTTAAAAACTAAAATTGCTTAAATTCACAAATATGCTGGAAATATAAAAATGCTGTAATCTTTTTAAAAGTATGAAATCAGATAATTCTGCATTCTTACCTGCCAGCTAATGCGTGAAGAGAGATTCTCCACAATAAGTCTGTGGTCGGTCCGCATGGGAGGGCCGTACCTGTACAGGTAAACAAAACCACGTTTAGCGCCTCGTGATTTTTATCTTGAGAGACGCTATAGAAATTTTCTTCTTCTTCTTAACACCCACAAAAGAGATTCACACACACACCTTTACCCTTTAACCTGAGCTGTGACCTTACCACTAAATCTAGTCTTTACCTCTTTATTTTCACTCCTGCAGCATTTATTTTGCCTTTGCCCAAGGCGATGTTGATATTGGCTTTTGCACAAAGTACAGAGAAACAAAATAGGTTTAAGTCTGTTGTACCTGTATCCACTGTTGCGGCGATAGCTGCTGCCACCACTGCTACTAAAGCGTCCTGCTCCTGGACCACCACCTCCTCTTCCTCTCCTGGAGCGAGCATGCTCAATTGTGACCCTAAGAAAAAGCAGAGCAGCTTTAAGTCAATTCAAAGAACAGAAATCACAAAACAATCTGACGTCGGATAAAACATGCATCCAGTAAAGAGAGAAAAAACTGCTTTGTCATGAATAGCGTTGTAACGGTGCATGTTTTTTTAATTCTGATTTTTGGCTACGAAACATTTTGGCTTTTTAACATGTACTGAATTATAAGGCTGAACAGTTAATTGCATATGCAATTATATTGCAATGTGACTAACTGACATTTCCTAATTGCAATGGCTGCAATTTGACTGGCCGCGAGATCTGGGAAAATCACTTGAGAGCTCCTCAAACAAGACAGGGAGAGAAGAAAACACTGCGCTTTAACCTGTTATAAAATGGCTTCAGGCTCAACAGAATCCAACGCTGCACAAAGTTTGTTTCCAAAGAGGACATCAGTTGTGTGGAAATATTTTGGCTATAAAAAAGATGCTGCGCAGAATCTGCCTTGCTACTGTTGCTGCCTCATGAGATAACACTACGAAACTTTATCAACACCTAATAGAGATGCATGTTTTTCAAAATTTCTTCAATCGGCTATTGACGCCCCCTAATGGTTAACCAGAACTATTGCGTTCCAAGAATGAAATAACTAAGAATAAACTGCTCCTATGCCATGCTCTTTGCCAACAGCTCCATATATGAGTACATTTGTTTGGTCACGGGACAAGCTCATTTCTTCTTCGGTGGTTGCCCAGTAAACATATTTAAAGTGGTGCTCTTGTGCCCTCTAGTGGCACAAAATATATTGCACTCAAACACAGCAGAAGTACTTAAATCTGCATTCCGGAGTTTTCCCCTTTCAGAAATGATGTATGATTTTTCAGAAATCTGTTAAAGTGATTATCTCATCATGTACTGATCTTTTTTTTGCTAAGCACGCCCCCCTGCCCCGCAGAGCTCCATTCAATAGGAAACTGGGCGCTGACCAGAACTAACAATAGCGTTAGACTACCGCTTATTTGCTTCAAATTTAAGGAATACCTCGGTTGATGCAGAGTTGATGAACTTTTCACAGACAAGTCTCTAAAATATAAATATTATGAGAACACAACATGACATAATAATACTCGTAAAACAGCGTGTTTTTGCTCTATTTGTCGGCTAAGAAGCACATTTATAAACAGAAACGTGCAGCCGCGATGTTAAACAGAACGATACTTTTTGTGTGATATGCTTGTCAGCCACTAGATGGTGCCATCAGATAAGCAGTGTTTCCCTTACATAGGCGTAGCTGTGGTGGCCCGCCACGGATGAAATCCCAGCGCCACGCCTACAAGACGCCAAGTTTTTTTTTTTTTTTGCGCCGTTTCCCGAAGAAGCAGCGGGAACTACTCTGTTGTTGCTTGTGATCACAGCTGGCAGGGTAGGGTGGTTACAGCTAGGGATGAGACGGATACTCATTTCAGACTAGTATCCGGTAAAGATAAAGCATTGTTGATGAAGCAAAGAAACAGATTCCTGCGTTTGTTAGTAATTTTATTTATTAGGTGCATCTGACCTGTTCTATTTTTCTCTGAAATGAGATCAAATCAGTGCTTCTATGGGTTTTCTCCTCTCTGCAGTAGAAAATTTTACTTTATTATAATGTTCACTGTAATGCATCTTGGTGTTCTTAACAATAAATTAAATCAAAAATATTGGTCAATAATGCTAAATATGTAAATTTGTGTTTCAGTCATTTTTATACTGACTTAAAAATACTTCATTAAGTCTACTAAGCAGGGGTGTAGAACGTGTTTAATAGGGCCAGCCCAGTAATGATCTTGGACCAAAATAAAGAGGACAGAAAGTCAAATAAGGGAGGGCAAAAGGAGATGTTTTTCCAGACGCCAAGAAAAAAATAAATGCCAAATCCCCCCTGCAAAGTGTGTCACTGAGTTTAAAACAAAAATTATTTTTGTGCAAATATTGGTGTATCCACCTTTAATACTAGTTATTAAAATGCAGTACTGGCTCCGTTGTTTATGAGAAACTGAAAGTTGCAGTGTGTGACATCCACGATGCTGTAGTTTTTTTAGCTGTAGTCAAAAGTAATGTCTAGCAAAGGTGCAAACATCTTTCTTTAGAAGAAGGCTTTTAGCGCTTCTACATGTGGTTTTAAAGACATTTAAGACAATTAGAACAGAGGAAAGAGCTGCAGCGATGTCCGCTTCAGATGCCATCTTCATTGTTTGAGAAACTCAGCATTGTGGTGTGTGATGCACGCTGCTCAGCCATACCTGCAAACTCGAAGGGTGTGGAAAAAGAGGACTGAAACCCATTGCTGATACCAAAGGACCCCCCCCCCCCCCCCCCAACCCCAAAAAACCTCTTTGGATCTACACGATTCACGTGAATGCCCCATTTGGCTTCTAAAACAGCGACTTTCCATTTGGCTTCTAAAACAGCGATTTTCACCAAAAAGCAGATACATCAGCACTGATTAGCTCGGTTAGAACTCTCAGGGGGTGGGGTTATTAGAAGAGTTCCCAGACCTAATGCTTCCCATACAAAAGCATGGGGCTGGCTGGTCAGGCTACACCTGTACACCCCTTGTCAGGAAGCAGTGACTGCTCTTTAGTTGATAAAAATGATGACTGTATACATAGAAACTAAGAAAAGATGTTTACCTTTCGCTGCACAGTTCTTTCCCATTCAACTCATACACAGCGTCATCTGCATCCCTGTGGTCATCAAACTCCTGAAAAGGACAACATAATTTTATAGAACTGCTTTTAAAAAGGCAGTAAGAAATCCAGCCATCTGATATACTGTCATACTAACCACAAATCCAAATCCATTCTTCAAGTTGATCTCTCGAATCCGTCCATATCCTTTGAAAAACTTCTCCACGTCTCTCTCTCTGGCGTGTGAGCTCAAACGGCCGATAAATATGCGATTGCCACTCATTTTGATATTTGCTGGAACTAGAGGACATGTAAATGATTAAAACACTCCTTCAGAGGCCAAGGCAAGCATGAAACAGCCTAAATATTAACAGAGAAGTAGCGGTTTGTAACTAACGCCGTTTCTGCTGACATTACAAAATGCAATGCCCCTTATAAATCAATTAACTTGATGTGATTAGTACAGTTGTAGTTGTGCGTTCCCTGATGTATGGTCGTCACTTCCTCTTTAAACATTCATTAGTGAGTGGAAAAAGTTAAATGAGAGTTTATTATAAATTTAAAGCCTTAAAAACACCAGAGTTAAACTCGAGACGGAGCAAAACCAAAAGTATAATAATCCAGTTGCAACTTTCAGGATGTCCGAGCATCTTTCATAAAGTTTCATTCAATGAGACATTGATCTGCTCATTTCAAAGGTTATCAAATGATTTACGAGCTGTTTTTAGTTTGTGATCTTTCTAGAGAATCAGATGATGTATGTCTGCTAATAAAAGCTTCATACGTATTAGGCCTAGGGCCTCGCGCCTGCTGGAACACACCGTTAAACTGCGCAACTCAACTACATCTACTTACAAACGAGATAATCAAACAAGCAAAATTTTTACTATTGTCATACGAATTTAACTTTTAAGCTGTTTAACGTGACGTTCCACTATAATATCTTATTTCCACCATGACAAATTGGGTGTAGTAGTTCGCCTCATGGTCGCTTGGTTAGCCAAGGTAAGCTAAGAGCAGGCGTCACTGTTCAGAGCATCCTAATACACAGCTATCAGTCAAAAAAACACAAAAACATTGTTCAAAATGGTTTAGAATTAATTCATTCACCTGCTCACCAGTATGTTTTGATAGCTGGTGCTGCTTCGAGTCGGTTGTTTGTGACACTGGTCAGCTCTCAGAAGTAGGTCAACCACTGTACTACTGAATCAAAATGGCGACAGAGTCCAAAGAGCAGGAAACGGACGGTGTCCTCGCGTTGCCAAGTATTTTGCACTGGTCACGTGATAAAGTAAGAAAACGTTTATGGTGCGTTTAGAAAATCGCGAATACAAATTTATTATTTTATACTGATCCATAAACAATACGTAAATATTTCAAATGCTGTATAATGAACAAAATGTGCGTGTCTTTCTTTGAATTACGAAGAAGGGTAACAAAAGAATAACTGGCAACCCATCTTACCTGGTTTGGGAACATAGCTAGCTCGGAAATAAGGTCATTTTCAGCGTTCTCTCATTTTTGTAGAAACGGAAATTTCCATAAACTGTTGTCTATTTAAAAAGTAAACGTAAAATGCAATTTAGCAATAACCATATTCCAAAAAGGTAATTTAATACTCATTTATAATTCCTGGTCGAAAAAAATGAGGTCAAAATTGCTTTTGCAATTCATCTCTTTATTCTAGAACTAGAGTCATTCTTAGATCAGGTTGGGATTAGGAAAGAAAATACAGTTTAGGTTGACATTGTACAGCAGGAGATAAATAACTATTCCATGGCCTGCTTTAAGTGATAAAAAAATCGGTTAAACCGATCACTGTACAGCTCCATCAACTCAAAATATTCCAAATGTCTGAACACAATACATGGGGAAAGTAAATCAATAACATAGCTTAGTCGTCAACATGAAAAAAATAAAATAAAACGATTTCCTCCTGTTTCTGTAAAAGTCCTGCAAGAGAAGGTGGACCATCAGTTGTACCAGAAGTCATGTGATCTACTTCCTGACAGAAGATGGCTGTTCATCAACACACCACAGGGCCAGGAGAAACTTAAAATCACAAGGTCACAGCCACAAACGCCTGCTATTCCTGGGGAAAACAGTTGCTGCTGTGTCCAGTTGCCATCCTCTCTTCCCACTCTGATTAGAAGTAATTATTGACTTTAAAAATAATCTGCTGATCTCACTGTTGTAAAACTTTTCTCTAACTCTAGAGAAAAATGAATAGTCAAACTAGATGAAACACCACTATTTTGATTGTTGATGCAAAAAGTGGGGTACCTTGTAAAAAGGGGACGAAAACAGAACATAACAAGTACTACTAATAATGATAAAATTACAAAAATGGTACAAAGATACATCTTAAAACTTAAATCGGAAAATAATTGAAATGGGAAAGAGTGAGAATTTTACATCATTTTAATTTATTAATAATAACAATAATAAAATGATTTGAACACATCATACTGTTGGAAACATCTTGCAAAAATCAACACATTCCTCTGGACTGATGACCTTATTTCTTCCACACCTGTAAAGGCACCATCAGGGCTGAATAATAGAAACAGGTGTTGGTAAAATACTGTAAGCTGCCACCCAAATGGTCTCAGTTTCAGGAAAAGCTTTATGTTTTTCAGTAGGATTCTGAACCCGTGAAAACAGCTAAACTAACATATCTGTTGGTTTAAAAATCAAAACTGATTGAAATCATTTCAGAAATTGAAATATTGGATAAAAAACACTCAGTTGTTGTTCAGATATAACTTTATATCAAGCAACAGTGGGTAAACAGTTTATCTTACAAAAAGTCTCTTTAGCTTTACTTTTTTGTTGAAACAAATTAAAATTTACAGCTTTAAAACCAGGATATTCTTGTTCACATTGAACATTTTTTATACGCCTGTTCCTAATTTAAATATTCCTGCTTTTTTTTTTCTTTGTTACATTTTACACAGCATGTTAACTTCTTTGAAACAGGGTTGTAATTGTGTGAGCATTAACACAGGACATGTGGAAAAAGACGAGCATGAGGCACGCCCACAGGTCTCAGAACCTTCCCCGGATCCTACATTACATTACATATGGCTTGCATAATTTGACAAACACCAAAAGGACAAAAAAAGATCTTCTCTGGGGATTTTTGGGGCTAAAACTAGCCGTTGTTGGGCAAAAAGTGATTCAGAAAATAAACTTTTATCCCCATTCCTGATTTATCGATTTTAAGTTTTGCATTTACTAAAATAAATAAAATAAAGGGGACATATGTTAAACTCACCCTTTGCATCCTTTTGAGCTGCCATGTGGGTCTTTACTGCCTCTAGAAACACTCCAGATGTGAATAAAAGCTGCCCATCCATATTCTGTCAGTGTTTGGTTTAGGAGTTATGCGCCTAAAACAAGCCAGATCAAAAAGTCCCCTTTTGTGATGTCACAAACAGGTGAATTATAAAAGAACAACCTCTCATCTGCAGGTAGAAGAGCAGCAGCTCTTTTCTGGACCATTTCCAGATAGAAGAGCTTGTCAGCTTATAGCAGCCTGAGCGAAGAGGGGTGGGTGTGGCCTGCTCTAGCTTGTTTTTCTTAGTGACAGAGCCTGAAACAGCTCATTCTGGAAGGTACTAAAACTGTCAACAATAAATGTGCTGAAATTACTTTATGTGAGAGGGGTTTAGTGCAAAGAACCTCATGAACATGTTTTGTATCTCGACTATAGGGCTATTATAGGTCATAATATGTCTTCTTTAAACAATCTGATCTGAAGGGTTGAGCCTGCTGTTTTGGTCAAGTTAAATTCCCTTTTATCTGCCCAGATGTTTGAGTCGACCCACCATGATGGAAAAACATTTCAGTGTTTCTCTTTACTTTCATTAAAGAAAATAAGTTTAGAGCACTTTAAACCAACTTATGGATGCTTTATATTCTCTAATTTATACTCTTGAAGCATAAAAATCACTTGGATGTTAAAACAAAATGTGGATAAAAGGATTGCCAGAATAGAAGCTGAATCTTTTTAGAGTGGTTTCTTCTGAGATGCTCACCCAGAGTTAAAAGTAAAATTTGCTCAGGATTGTTTGCAATAATTGAGAAAGTTGTTACCCATCCAGTGCTCATTTATGATTTAAATTTCCGAGAAAGAGATTTTCTTTTTTATTACAAAAGTAAAAGGAAAATTAATACAAGACGACATCCTTGTGGATGTCTCAAGTTTTCATTTTTTCTCATCAAAACTCAAGTAAACAAAAACTCAAGAATGTCCAATGAAAAGTTCCACACATGAAACCAAAGTGAGCAGTATCATCTGAAGGCCACTTAAAGGTTAGTTTACCAGAACTAGGTGATTAGCAGTTTCCCGGTAACGTCACTGCCTGTTTTAGTTTTTTTAGTTTTGTTTTGTTTTTGTGGGTGGGGGGTGGGGTGTGTGTGTGTGGGGGGGGGTTGTCGTACAAAAGCAGCTTAGAAGGCAGGGTGGGGATCAAGGCTGACAAGGGTTTTGAACTTTTGTGGAAAAAGACTAAAAATCACTTTGAAAAAAAAAGATCTGTTGGAATCTGGTCGATGCGTCAGGGCTCAGATCAAAGTTTTGCTGTCATTCCTGTCGTCCACAGGTCCAAAATCTCTGGCAGCAGGAGACTCGGTTTTTCCTGCCTCTTAAATCTCTCAGAGGCTGAACTGTGAGGTCAGGTGGTTCTTCAAGCACGCTGAAGAGACCAGCAGAGGTGCATCTAGATCCAGAGGTCAGGGGGTGAGTTTACACCCTGGTGTGGCGACAGCTGTGGGAGGAGCCTGAGCCAGTGGCAGCCGCACCAGATGAGGGCGAAGGGTCCTCATCGCTCGACTCGTTCTGCTCCTCTTTGTGGAGGCCGAGGCTGATGTGGCTCTGCAAAGCCGCCGGGGTTAACCACTCCTTGGGCAGGCAGCTCTGCAGGAAGGGGATGCAGGAGCTGAAATAAGCCAGTCTGTTAACCCAGCGAGGGATTTCTCGTCCACACAGTAGCTGGAAAAAAGGCGTGGTGGCGTTCATATTAGGCATTTTTACTGAAAGTTCGAAACATTCACATATCTCAAATATATGCGCCCAGCAGGGCTCTGAGATCCTAGGAAGCAGTCAACTGGTAGAACCTTGGGTCAGAACCAAACAGGGTGAAGCTGCTTTTAGCTACTATGCTACACACAGATGGAGTCAGCTTCCTCATGACCTCAAATGTGCCCCAGCTCTTAATAACTTTTAAATCAAAATTGAAAGCCTTCATGTTTTCATGAGCATTTGAATGAATGTTCTTATACTGCACAATCTGCACTGTAACTGCTCACCCTTTAACTTTTTTTTTTTTTTTTTAATTGTATTTCCTGTCACGTTGATTTTAATGTTCTTGCTATTCTTGCAAATGGAAAGCACATTAAACTGCCTCTATGTATGAAATGTGCTCTATAAATAAAGCTGCCTTGGCTTGCCTATAGTGGGCCAGACAAAAGGACCATTGTCAGGGCCGTTTTCAACCACCAGGAACAAAACTTTACACTTGCCACGAGATTTGCAACAAAATTTTAGAGCAGCCACATAACTTGAAACAAAACAGGATATATGTTACACCTAACACATAACATGCAACAAAACTTTACAACTGCCACAAGATTTGCAACAAAATCTTAGACCTGCCACATAACTTGCAACAAAACTTTACAACTGCCACAAGATTTGCAACAAAACTTTAGACCTGCCACATAACTTGCAACAAAACGTTACACCTGCCACTAGATTTGCAACAAAACGTTACACCTGCCACTAGATTTGCAACAAAACGTTACACCTGCCACTAGATTTGCAACAAAACTTCACACCTGCCTCGAGATTTTCAACAAAACTAGTCCTGTCATGAGATTTGCCACAAAAATTCACATCTGCCAACAGATTTGCAACAAAACTTTAGACCTGCAACATAACTTGCAGCAAAATTTTAGACCTGCCACATAAATCGCAACAAAAATTTACACCTACCACAAGATTTGAAACAAAACTATAGACCTGCCATGAGATTTGTAACAAAACTTCACACCTGCCACAAGAGCCTCCATAACATCAACTGAAGGTTTATGAAAAGCGGCATTGAAGTCCAGTGGGTGGTTGCCACCACTGTCACCTTGGCTGTATCACACATGTCTAGTCACTTCTGGAAAAGGTAACAACATAGACTCCTCACCCATGTATGTTGTCCTGTGCAGGATATTTAAGCATAAACTGGCTGGAACTACATTATTAAAGGTGGATTAAAATATGATAAAATGAATGGCCTTGCACAAACTAACGCCATATCCATGTTCTGATACTCTAGCTCATTTCTCTGCGCAGTGGGAGCAACAACAGAAGATGCTGACCTCAGATAACGAGGAGGAGAAATGGTTGCAGTTTTTGTGCATTAGGTGGTAGGCGTTCCCTTTGAACTCTTTACCGAGCTCCTCCATGATTTTATCTATGTCCTCCTCTGTGAAGTCTGTGGTGCCCAAAACAATGGCTTCTCTGCGGAGAAAAGGAGTCACATCAGAGCACCTATCTCCATCTTTGACTTCCCTGTGCTTCATAAGGTGAAATGCTCACTTGAATTTGAACGTCTCTCCCAGTTCGGCGGCGTTGCCGGGGTTGATTTCAAAGATGCCGCTAAAAGGGTAGGGATGACCTCCGTATGCAAATTCTGAAGATGCAAAACATGGGTTAGTTACTTAATAGCTGTGATTGTAGAGAATGAAGCAAATATTGGCTTACACATTGTAATTAAATGACTTGGACTGACTTGAATAAAGGCTTCTGTGCTCTACCATTACAGCTCAAATTATTAGCTACTGTCTTCTGATTAATGCTGACTAATAGTCGCAGTGAATTCTTCTCTTTAGGAAAACAACATTAAGACAAAAACACAAAACAAGGCTCTAGACTAAAAGAGGAGAATGCCACTCTCATCACGTTTCTCTGCATAGAGTCAATATTTTCCTGTGCCAAAGGCATAATGGATTCCCAGTACTCAAGTTTCTTCCCCTCTATTTTGAAAATAACACACACACACACACACACACACACACACACACACACACACACACACACACACACACACACACACACACACACAGAGTGACTTAGTGGTGACTCAAGTAAGAGAAACCAGGTCACGCTATAAGGAATTTGATTACATATACCTATTTTAAAATCGCATCTGGGTCTGTGAACGTTCAAACATCACACAAAGCTTCCTGTTTGGCCAGCAGCACTAACAACGTGTATTTTACGGAGGAGGAAGAATAAAAATGGTCTCACCTCTGCCATAAATCTCAATGCCTGAGTGGAAGACACCAATGCCAAGATTGGAGGTGTATTCGTTTATCCAGTACTGCAGGGAAAAAGGCAGAAGCACAGAGTCAGGGAAAAGAAGCAATGCAGCAACCGGGCTCTCATCCTTTCCTCCTAAATAATGCAGAGAAACACATTTAGCATTAGATGCTAACAGAGAAGAATTTTTACTTAAAGATCTTCAACCACGTTTTAGTTGTTATATTCTGTTAAAAGACAGATACAGTTGATACTTCTGGAAACAAGTCAGGTAAACTGCTGCTGAGTTTTCCCACCGTGGGACAAAATGGATATTTATTTTCTATTCTATTTATTTTATTCTAAAAGCAGACAGGTCTCTGAGTAGATGCAACTAAATAATCTGTTTTAGAGACCAGTATGTTGGTCAGCCACAGACTAGATGGATGTTGGATCTAATAGAAACAACAAGATTTCAGAGCGACCAACAGAAATTCATGACTGAACTGCAAACACTACCAAACTCCTAATGCTCTTATTTTGAAAATTCCTCACTAGCTCCACAGGAACAAACTACAAAGTGGTGTTAGCAGCTGTTTCTGTTATCGTTCCTTTAATCACATTTACAAATCTGATACATTCTCTGAATTAAAAAATAGTTTAAATACTGACAAGGCACATTTTCCTGTTTCTCTTTTTCAAAACATTTAAGCTTTTAAGTTTTTAGCGAATTCCCCCAGCTCCAGGTATAAAAAGCACATTTTTAAAAGTCTTTATTGCTGTGAGAAAAGGTCTGAAAATACCATGACCAAGAGACGTTGTTGATGGTGCAGATGCATGTGATCCATTTTAAAGCAGACTCACGATTAGAACTGCTGTTTACCTGCATTTATCAGCAAACATTTAATTTCCTGCTGCTTTTTCCTATTTAGACTTTTAACTAATGAGCAATCCTGGAGTTAACTTTGCAGAAAAACCTTGTTAAGTGACTGATCACATGGCTGATGATCAATCACTCCCTCTGGCTAAGGAGAGGAACATCAATCAGCCTTGGACAGCATTGTTAACGCACACACACACACACACACACACACTCTCTCTCTCTCTCTCTCTCTCTCTCTCTCTCTCTCTCTCTCTCTCTCTCTCTCTCTCTCTCTCTCTCTCTCTCTCTCTCTCTCTCTCTCAGCAACATTTCCACATTGCTTTTCTGGTCTCTGCGTTTCCCCAGTGACCTCTAGTCTTATCGACTCACAAGACTTTGTTTCCCAACAACAAAATCCTGACTTTCCTCCAGGGGAACATCCTGCAAGGACAAAATCTTCATCCTGAATTAAATTAGATTCAACCCGAGCTGAGTTAAAAAAAAGAAAGAACACCATGGATAAACCTTTGATTCTTGTCACTTTGTATTGTTGATGTTCATCCTCCCTCCATCCTGGTATGACTCACTCTTATCATGCTGCCTCCTTCTTCTATTCTTGAGTTTAATTCTCTTTGAGGAATTTCAGGCTAGATCTGACTGCCGTCACCCCCATAATGCCGCTCTGTAGCACTCAGCGGGCCTGGCGTGACCTGTTAAGTTGCTCCACAGCAGGGGAAGGCAGGAATTTATTTAATCAGACCTTTGAGCAGCTGTTGCTTCTGTGAGATGACTCGATGATATGAGGAGAGACCTGTGAGTGCAACGCTGGACCTTGGCTCCAGGTGTGAGTACGTTTTCATATGTGTGAGCATGTCCTCCAAATCACAGCTCCTCACATTAAGAAGGTCTGAATGTCAGCTGCAGCCTTTTGTGTGGGTTTGAGATGGCTTTCCAAGCTCTGAGTGGGTTTTCTCCTCCACTGTATAATTTTTTTTTTAATTTGGTAACGTAGAAGTTAAAAGTCATCCCCACCACTTACTCCAAGCAGCAGATGATCTCTTAAAATATAGCAATCAACCATTGGCGTGAATCTTGTTTATTAGTTAGTAAAACATCTACAAATTAAAGCAACACTGAAGCCTTTTTAACACTGATTTCAAACTGGTTTCAGTGATTCTTTAGTCAGAAACTTGAGCAACTTCTTGTGGTTCGGGTGGGCGGTCGCTACCCGTTTTACAGCAACAGCTATTTACTATAGGGCTGGGCAATAAATCAAAAATGTATCTTTATCAAAACTTCTGACTCTAACCAATATCATTTTTCCCATGACAATAAATTTGATAATAAAAAAATTAATAGATAGTGCAGATGTATGTTGGCGACGTTGATGTCCCTTTAAGAAGCTGTACCAGCTTCAGTCATAATACTCGTAACAGCCCCATCTAGTGGACAACTTTTGTTTTTGCGCAGGAGAGCCGGTGTCGGTACATGATCTGCTCGGGTGCAAGATCGGCTCGGGGTCCTTCGACTGCCGATGACGTCAAAGTACGGCAAACCCACTCGGACAAAATACACTACACATCTATACTGTTGGAAAGAATTTAGCAGTTTCGTTATTAAAATAATGTTTCTTAAGACGTAAGTTTGTGTTTATAAAGGTATTTGTAAAATAAAACACTATTTTATTCATAATGTTGAACTCCTCTTTGAGCACATCCCTTGAAGAATCATAGGTATTAGCAACACCTGTGAAATTGTATTTGCAGGAAAGAAGTGTGTCCCGTTTATTTAAGTATTTTGTGTTTAGAGTTTTTGACGTCTTGTCCATGAGTAGTTCAGTTACGCTCATAGCTGCTAGCATAAACTCTGGAGTTAAAAGTTTTCTGGCTTTACTAAAATACCTGTCTGTACTTATTTGATTGATGGTATTTTTACTTTCTATTAGACTCCAAATGTAATCATTTGGCACGTTTCTAATTCATTATTTGCAATAATGTAATCGGCGATATTAGCATTAGCATTCCTATGGGTTTTTCCATGTATATTAGCATTGCGCTAACCACTCGCTGCCAAATTGCAGCCTTTGAGATTAGAAAATCTCCTGGCTTTACTAAAGCCAGGATCTGTCTGTACTTATTTGATTGATGGTATTTTTACTTTCTATTAGACTCCAAATGTAATCATTTGGCACGTTTCTAATTCATAATTTGTAATAATGTAATCAGCGATATTAGCGTTAGCATTCCTATGGGTTTTTCCATGTATATTAGCATTGCGCTAACCACTCGCTGCCAAATTGCAGCCTTTGAGATTAGAAAATCTCCTTTTGTCACATCGCAATTTAATTGCACATGCAGTTAATCGTTCAGCCCTAATATACATGCAGCTCTATGCTAAAAGTGTATTTTCAAAGAGGTAATGATGGATTTCTTTGTAAAAGTTGTCCATCTTTCCAATAGAAAGATTTGCCTGGACCAACGTAACGTGATAACAACGTAACGTGATTACGTAATTCCGTCAGGTTCATGTTCAGCCAATCAACTACTTAGACGTCATCGGCGGTCGACGGACCCCGAGCCGATCTTGCACCCGAGCAGATCCTGTACCGACACCGGCTCTTTCGGCTCCCAAGTGGCTCCTCAGATTTTCTGTTGCGTAGAGTACATTGATAACCAAAATAATGCTAAACTGTATGTAAAATAATTTACTAATGTAAAAAAAGCAATATATCAAATATTTATCATTTCTATGGATTTAATAACTGAACACTTTAAGAAATCTCCACTTTCCGACTGCTGGCGTTCATTTTCTCACCGCCTTCGTCGCGCTCTCCTCGCTCTCGCTCGCCTTTTTCCTCCTCCTCATTCCCTCTCGTCTCCCTCCTCCCACATGTGCTCTGCTGTGTGTCTGAGTATGATCCTCCCTCTTCCCCGCCCCTACTGCTCTGTGTGTGGACAGTCTGGACACACAGTTACACATGTTGACCAATCGCCTGTAGCTTTCACCAGGGCAGGGGGGAGGGGGGGAGGGGAGGGGACGGCTCCCAATGACGAGCCGGCTCCCGTCGTTCACTTCAAAGAGCCGGCTCTTAGAGCCGGTTCGTTCGCGACCGACACATCACTAGTAGTTATCGTCCATTTATCGTTATCGAGGCAACTCCTCAACACATTGTGATATTGATTTTAGGCGATATCGTCCAGCCCTACTGTTACAGCAGCTAAAATTAAAGTTAACAGTTACGTTTTTCCCGACTGTCAGTAAAAAACACAAGAAGAAGAAGATTGTTTATTTTGTTGGCATCATGGCGGATCCTAGAAGTAAAAGTAAGAGTAATGTTGGCAAATAGCTAAAACCTGAGGAACTTCGGCATGGCCTACGCTTGTTTCAGGATGCTAAGCTACGAAGTCACGGACAGATGGTGGCTTCTTTAGTATCAGTTGGCTTGTGTTAGCATTAGCTCGTTGTTAGAGTGTCTATCAGACGGACACCCACCGCTGATTCACTTGGGGACAACCTAATCCAAGATGGCTACCCCCTACAAGAGCGTGAAATGTGATTTTCAAAATTTAAACCAAAACAGCTCATACTGCATTATTTTCCAACACATGATGACCACGGTTTGAAAAAGAAGCGGATGGTCCTCCAAGGAGGACGATCTTTCCTGTTATGATAGAATCTTGTTCTAAATGTCGATTGAAGAAGACAAACTTGCTCATTTTAAACTTTGTGAAGCACTTTGGTCGGTGGAAGTTGTTTTAGATGTGATATAAAATAGATGTAAGCACATGATTTATGGCTCATGGTAAACAGAGTCATAGTGGTGCATGTGTGCTCACAGCAGCACAGACTGTTCAGTGTTTGGGAACAGGCCGTGGCACTGGAGGAGGACTCTTGTTTGTGTGAATGTCACGTGAACTGACAGGACACACTAACAGAGGTCAAACTGTTATTCACACTGAAGTTAGAAATATGACCCCCCCCCCCCCCACCCCCCCCCCCCCCACCCCCACACACACACACACACCCCACCCCAAATAAAATTGGGAATGTCTGAGGACTGCAGTCCTCACCAAACTCAGATCTTCAGTTTATTTAGAAAATTGTGTGGATTTGTTTTTAAATAATTTTGCATGTGCTCGAAGATAAAAACAATAGTTTATTCTTACCATATCATACACGTTAAGGATGACAGGTTCATTGGCCATGGTTTAAACCTGAGCTGGGAAAGGCAAACGAAGGTTTTCAGCACCTCCACACCCCGGTGATGGCTTCAGCTTCAGCTCATTCCCCCCTGCAGAGAAACAACACCTGCATGGACGCTGCTGTCGGAGCCAGATCCTCCGGGAGTCACAGGGCCATCATGGCAGGAGGAAACCGTGGAGCTCAGACCCCATCAGGGTAGCGGACGAGGCCCATCTACTGATTCCGAAAATGTCTACTGTCAAGAAAATCGATGCAGGCAGGAGGTTCGTTTGCGTGATGAGAGCAACCAGCGCGCCTCAGAACATCAGATCAGAAGTTAAACCAGATCCAGGAGCGAGATTAAAGGCCTGCATGTGTCGCTCCTGTCATCACGGGCGAAGAGGCGACAGCTGGGGCGGGCTGATGTCGACAAAGGAGGCGGACTGCGGGTCATTTTCACGCAGATGCTGTAGGGGCATGCGCCGGATAGGAGTCTCGACTTTTGGGGGTCAATTACAGCTAATGGGGGAGTCAAGTTCACCAGCAGCATCCCCGAGCGGTACTGGTTGTGATGGTGCTGCTGCTGGCCCGTATCCAGTCTCCTCCTCCTCTTCTTCTGGATCCGGGGGGCTCAGACCTCCCCGGCTGAAGTCCTCCACCGTCGACGACCGGGTTCCCCGAACATGGAGGCTGACACGTTCTCCAGAAGGTCTTGCTCCAGCTGAGATGTGTCGTGCCGCTGGGATCCGGTTCTTGGCTCTGCCTCGCTGCTTGATTACATCATATCTGCCTCCAACAGCTGATGTGAGCCTGAGCCACTGGTGGGAGTCCAGGAGCACACACACACTTGTTTCTTTCATGATGTGGATTTATTTATTCCAATCCGAGATTTACAGTTCACACATTAAAATATATAGTTTCATTTAATCTGACGATTTTGTATATTTAATCATTTTTTGCCTTACCTTTTATCTAAATGTATGCCGGACTTTTGTTAAAGATAAAATAAATTGTTGCAGGTTAATGTATGAACAAAAATAAACGCGTTTATTTAAATTTTCACTGCGTTTACGTCATTTGTGTTCCAACTTTTATTTTAACAACATCCACATAACTTCCGGTTTTACTTTGGAAATATTAGAACAAACTTCACCGTTTCCGGGTCTAGAAACTAGAACAAATGATATCTTGATAATGACTAAATAAAATCATTAATTTTTGCCGTTTTTTAAATTCAACAACATATTTAAATACAAGAATATTATGTAATTATTTAATCAAAATTTAACTAATTATTTGTAATATTTATAATTATAAACATTTTAAATTTTCTGAGATCCTTTAAATTGCACGCACACACACACACACACAAATTATGAATTCTACAATTTTCACTCTAATCAGGATTTTGTTGTTTTAAAGCATAAAAGCACCCGTGCATTTCTACGGCAATTACAAACAATAAACATAACAAACTGAAGGAACCAAATGGATGTGAATTATATTTTTATTTGGTATGTGGAGGTCAAACACGGACTGTTTATTTATGCTTCTGATTGGTTTTCAGGCTTACTACACAAACAACCTCACTCAGCAGTTACATGAAATATATTTACATAAGGACCACAACCAGACATTTATTCTACAGATGTGCAGAAAGACATCCACAATACACATCTGACTAATCCCCATTTAACAGCAATTGGTCTGTCACAATAATGGTTTATTTCACGTCAGCTAAACCAAAAGGAACGTCTCAGCCTCCAGCTGAGGACAGTTTCCGTGGATCAAAAATAACTGTAATATAGTTTATTCCTTGGGATAAACATTATTGTAAACAATTATAAACAGAAATGTGATTCAAACTAACGAGCCCACGGACAGGTTGGATTTTATTTTGAGGAGGAAATTCATAAGAATAAACTGATGAGTGGATTTGATGGGTTGATTTTCATTTATGGCAACAAGGAGCAAACTGATTCTGCCATTAGCATCACTAAAAACATAAAGACACCCAAAACGTTCCTTTTGGGATAATCCATCACATTATTTGAAGGAGTTTCTGATCCTACAACTGGATGTGAGTAGCACAACCAGGAGATGCTCCCCTCATGATCCTGAGCAAAAATGAAAATCAAACCTTGAACTTAGAGATAACAGTGAGCTCCTCCCACGCTTACACATCTACCATCCATAACGGAAATACGAAGAAGCCATTGAGTGATCGATCACAAACCCGTCTTTCAGTGTAATTAATGAACTCGGGCACAGGACGCCACGCAGTGGAAACATCCACGTCCTTCTTCTCTGTGCATCACAGATAGCTTAATTTAACATGATCTCTGTGTTAAGAGAGAATCCTGTTGCTTAGGGTGTCAAACCACCAAATATGGAGGAACAAGGAAAAAAATCATTACCTACTAATCAAAAAATAAGCTCTAATGTTCAGACTTTGTTCCTTCATTCACTTCTTTGGCATTTAAGCAAAGTTTTTGATATTAAAATGAATATATAGATACTGCCAATGTAAATAAAAAAGGTCTTTTGTCTATTTTTTCATTTTATAAGCGACTGCTAGGAGTACTATGACTCCAGCAAATAGAGCTAGGATTTCCAGATATGACGACGGCGAGTGGTGCTCGGGTTGTGAGTCTGTGGGCTGGTCCTCGAGAAAGGGCTGCAAGACAGAAAACAGGCATTACCGTTAAAGCTGATCCGCCAAGGGGAAGTTAGTCACTTTATACACAGGTTTTATGCTAAAAGTACATTTTGGTGCAGCTCAACCCACAAGGAAAAATAAAAGCCTGCCTGCTACCTTTTTCTGAACACGGAGCTCCACGCTCTCTCCCGCCGTTCTGAACAGCTCCACCACAGATTTGTGTGTCCGATTCTCCAGCGGGATCCCATTTATCTACAACACCCACAAGACAAACAGAAAACCTTCATCCAATACATCCACCTAAGCAGCTGTTAATCATTAGTTTCAGTTGGTTCCAAACTCAAGTCACAGTTTGCACATTTTATCTGACCACCTTCAGAGATGATCTAGATTATAACAAGCAGCATTTAATATAAAATATGAGACAGGCAAATAAAAACAACATGATCAGCAAAGAAGACCTTTCAGAATAAAAGTCCTACATCCTTGGTCTCATTACCGAGAGAATCTTGTCTCCCTCCTGGAGTCTTCCATCCTGGGCTGCTGCTCCATCTTGTTTGATTTTGGACACATAAATGCCGTTGTCATTAACAACATATTGTTGGTCCACGCCCCCGATAATATTGAATCCTAAACCTAGGAAAGAGAAAGGTAAGTCAGGTGCCAGCGTGAGTTTGAGAATACAGCGAAAAAATCCAATAAACACAATTCTAGCTGTCTTAAAGGCCAGCTAACATTTATCTTAATGGATCAGAGTACAAAAGGAACACTTATAACTCTAGATTGTTAAATGTGAGCGTTCAAGAAATATTTCATAGTGCTAAAATTTAAATGAGACACGTTTTCTTTAGATTCATCATCAGCTTTTCCTATTGAAACTGTCCTTCCATGACTTTTTAAGATTTAGACAAATCTTTGACTTTAACTGACTTATCCTACTTCTAGCTGCTTCAGCAACAATGTTTCTAATAAAACGCAATAAAAAAAACAATACAAGAAGCTGATAAGTCAGGTCTTTATCTGTAAATTAGCCTTTAGCTCTAGAACTAAGCAGCAGCTTGACATGATTGACTTTTGCTGCTACGTAGCTAGCTAACGCTGCTAACACTGCTAACTGTGCGACTAGTTTCTCTTCTTACCTGCCGGGCCTCGCCTAAGTTTTATCTCCAGTGCGTCCCGAGATGAGTGCAAGGACCCGTTCATTGTGTCAATACGCAAAGGGATTAAAATAAACCCGAGCGGAAAAAAGAAAAACTATTTATCTGAAGGTGAACTCATTGAGGAGTTTCGATTTTGCTTCCTCTGAGTGCTGATGAATGATGCGTCTGTGCCGCCCCCCGATGGTGAAACGTGGAACTGCAGGCAGGTCTTTGAATCGCTGTCAGTAAAAACAATCGACTGTTGAAATCTGTGATTAATATAATTGATTATAACTAGGTATGACACCAAAATCCACCCAAGACTGAAATAAGTGTCCATGGTGTTGAATCAATCGAAAAACAAAACAAATGAGTACAAGCATGCATATAAACCTTTAATCCCACAGCAATAAAGCTACTTTATTTATAGGTCACCTTTGACCTTCTCTGCCTAACACAAACTGGTGATGGGTATGTAAAACACTGATTTATTATTGTGAAACAGTGGTCTGTTTATGGTGTCGAAAGTTTAATTTTCAAGCAGTTATTTAGTTGGTTTGTACTCTAGCACATCATTTCCCCCATTTATTCCTGCTACTAGTTCTAATACTTTAAGTGGCTGTGGGAGTTTTTATGCTTCACTGCATTAAACATGGGCATGAAATAAAAAATAATCAGCTTAAACATTTTTGTTTGGTTTCTTATATCCAGAGCGAAATTGCAGGTATTGTATTTTGTTTTGTTGCTATAGCAACAAGCAGCATCAAAACCCTGCAGACTTGGCTCTGCTTGGTTTTATATTTGATTATCTCTCACTGCACCATCTGAGGCTTGTTAGCATTTAAATCTGCAGGGTAAACAAGGCTCTGCAGCTTTCACTAGAGGGGGCAGAAGACGGTTTGCCTTCGGTCACTACGCTTAAACAGAAAAGGCATCATCAAAAACCCTGACAGCAAAAGAAAATCAGCTTACTGCCATTACTGAATGACAAAAGTAAACAAAGGAATCAGTGTTTATTATGGATGCAGGCAGGCAGCACAGTAGAAGCATACAATCTGCACCAAACAGCTTTTATCGAGTCAGCTTTAGTTTTCCTCTGGTCATAAAATACTGCTTCGTCCATCTTTGGCAGCAAGTTGGAAAGTCCATCCATCCTGATCTCCTGGTTTCTACTCAACTATTTGTGCCCTTTAAGGGTTTACTCCAACATGTAATCAGAATACTAATCGGTTCCTGTGACCCACTTACGACAGGAGAGGAGGAACAGATTCATGTATATACGCTTTAAGAAACGTCATGACTACACGCGTCTTGCTGAAATAAAAAGACACAGAGTGAATTTTCAGCATTACACTTTCATGCACTATGAAAGACTCCCATAATTCCTATAATGGACAGAATAATCACAAAACACCACTTAGTAGTGGAAATCTTTTGAAAGGTTCGGACCACTTGACACTATTCCCACCTACAATCCTTACATTTAGTATAAGTTAGTTTGTTTTACATACATCAACTGCATTTATGTAAAAAAAGAAAAAAACATGAACTTTAAAGTGAGATACTGTCCAGATCGAAGAAAAGGAAAACTGATTATCGAGCGCAGACCTTCCAGACCAGGTCTAATTTGCCTTCTGCTCTGTGATGAATGTGCAACGTCAGCTGCCCTCTGCTGACTTTAGTGCCTTGCTAATTTTATCAGTTGCGACTGAGTGCATTTGAAAAGATTTCAAACACACGGATAAGGTTTGAGCTGGGTTTCCTGGAGAGCGTGCGGTTCCATCCCAGGTTCAGATCATGCTTGGGGCTGCGCTGTAGAGGATGATGTCTCCTTCCACTCGCAGCAAGGTCACTTCCTCCAGGCCGCTGGCTCTGTGCTCGTACTCCAGCAGGTGGGTGCCGTCTACCGCCACTTTGAACATGTCCTCCTCCACCAGGATTTTCAGCTGACGGAACAAGGACAGACATGAAAACAAAATGGGGTTTTGACAGAAAAGTAGCTAAAACACAACATTTTTGATAATATGCTGATGTGTGAGCAACTTCCTTCCTTCCTTCCTTCCTTCCATGGCTGACTGACTTTCTCCAAATCAACTGCACAGTCTGCAGATTTGTTGTATTTACTTTGGCAGATTAGACCATGAACATGAGAACTGCAAAAGGCAGTGATCCGATCTCAGTTTTCTCAGTGAAGACACTGCTAACCTACTAACTAGGGTCTATCAGTCATTGTGAAGCGGCTGCTGCAGCCATCTCACTGCGAATCACCATTCATTTTAATTTAATGAGCAAGTCACCCCCTAATAAACCTTTTTTGCTAATAAACTCTATAACTGAGTGTCTGACAGTGCTGTAAATATGTGTAGTCATTATTTAGTGTATTTTTAAATTTAGACATCCAGCCCAAAAACCATCAGTGTAGCGCCCTCTTCAGGTTAAAGGCCTGCATTTGAATTGGCCTTCACTACTGGCTGAGAGCTACCTGGTGACGAGGCTGGTGCCACGATGTCAACTGCACTGCTGCTGTGGGGCATAAAAGCAGTCGAGTCTTGGGCTCAGCAGCTCCTCCACAGGGAGTTTGAGTTGGAATAGCAAGTGAGGGTTTACAGATCAGCACCAGTGGCCTCGGGCAACGCAAGAGCCACGGGTTTGAAACGATACGGCTCAAGGTCGCTTGCCTCCTCCAAAAAAAATAAAAAACCCTTCCTCTTTCACCATCTGCTAAATGAGGAGGTGGAGAAAAAGACTCTACCTCAAATGACTGCTCTGAGACAAAGGAGCTAGCATAGCTATGAGAATCTAGAAAATGGTTCTTTTTCTGTCTGAGCAGGATGTGTGTGTGTGCTCGTTTGTTAGCTGCTCAGTTCTCGAACTGAGAACCATCGAGCGCAGGGGGGTGGGGGTAGCAGTCTGTCACTCTCTAGCGCAGATCTGCCCACCTGGTCTGCCAGGCAACACCTCCTTGTGCTTTTTTCAAACAAGAAGTGTGAGTGGAGAAAGACTCAGGCAGGGTGGTGACTTGCTCTTTAAGTCAGGACCCTCACTAATAAAAAAAAAAAAACCACCACTACCTTAGAGAGTTCACATAAAAGTTACCTTAATTCTGTAATTATTAGATCAGCGGGCCCGTCAGGAAGCTGCTGAGATGACACTTCTGATACTGAATCTAACTAAAGCTTGCTGAATTAGGTGTAAATAAATATTGCATCTCACGCCTGCATAAAACATGTCGTGGTGGAATCACATCTAACATGGAGGACCACCGTAGCATCACTCTCAAAAAGCTGCCTTTACATCTTTTATAAAATTTCAAAAGTCTCTGTGTTCCGTTACATTTGCTGTATTCTTATTATAAAGTACAGATGTAAAAATAAAATTATATTTCTTTCTCCTGAGCTTTTTGTTTTGATTTTACCTCAAAACGGCGTCCCTCAACGAAGGGGAAGGGTCCTTCGCGCTCCTCGGGCCCCCAATAACCTCCTAAGTTAGAGTTTCTCACAATGGTTTGCTCATGAAACCGAGGGTTAAAGTGAAAAACCACATCTGAACCTTTGATGAAGTCAACATTGAACCTGAAAAAGAAAACAAATAGTTGTTTCTCTCCCCTAACACCACATCTGACATCAGTCCCATGAGCTGAATGCTATTTGTGAACGTGTACCTGACTGCACCAGGAACAGGCTCTCCGATTATCGTGATTAAAAGTCGCGGCATGATTCCAGCGTGAAGGGGGAGATCATGCGGCAACATCTGCAAGAAACATTTACAACACAAATGAGACAGGCACTTTGTGCATAAATATATAAATAAAAACAGTTTTTACCCGATAAATGACATCCGACAGGGAAGATTCACACGCGTTTAACCTTTATTAACAACACTCTTGACTTGGTAACATACAAGTTTATTGTCAGGAAATAAAGGGAATTCAGTTAAACATTAATCAAAACTTTGACCCTGCCAACATTATTACCACAGCACCTGAATGAGTCATAACTTTCTTCATTTGTTTCAACACCCGGTGACTTCTCAAAGTAATGAAAAAGTAAAAAGTTCAGTTTAACGATTACATTTCCAACACCTCAGATCTGAATCTGTCCTGTAATGATAGAAAATATCCGAGTAAACTTTCATCATTAGGGAGAAGATGTTCTGTAAAAATATAACTTATTTAATATTGCACTGAAAGAATGACACCCAGTTTATTGTTTACATTTGAACACAACTGCCATCAGATAAGAAATACAGTCAGTCTTTGGCACTAATCAAACCACGCTTTGAAGCTGGAAGTGATGTCCTTGTCCGACTTTTCAATAAAATGGTGGATTATATCTGGGCTGAAAGACAAAAATAGATTTTTCTATGATTCCTTCTGAAAAGAGATTACTTCTGCTTATCATAAAAATTGCACCCGAGCAGCGTTCAAAGACGAAGGAATAAAACCCAAATGCAGCCGCCACCAAAACCAGATCATGAACGTGACCGTTTCTGCTCACCACCTTGACTTGCCACCAAACACCAAATGAGAAATACACCAGATAAGAAGTGCAGCAAGCAAGAAAAATGTTTCCAAGAAGAACAAGTACTCACCAATGTGCCTCCTGGACAGGCTGGCCCCCCATATGGACTCATAGGACTGGACCCAAAAGGGCCAGGTGCAGGAGGAAAACCACCTCCTGCCGGTGCTCCCCATGATCCAGGTGGCATTGGGGGAAACCCACCAGCAGGGAATGCTGGAAATGAACTGGGGCCAGCTGGAGCTGGGAATGTGCCTGGACCTCCTGGTCCGTACATCCCATTTCCTCCTGGTTGCTGACTACCAGGAAAAGGCACATTTGGATATGGTCCAGCAGGAGCTCCAGGGCCAGAAGGAAAAGGTCCAGCTGGGTAAGGAGTAGGGCCTCCAGGTAATTGTCCTGGAACTCCTTCAGGGGGATACTGGCCAGGGAACTGCCCAGGTGCCCCAGGACTTGAGGGAAACTGGCCTGGAGCTCCTGGTGCAGGTGGGTACTGCCCAGGTATACCAGGACCAACAGGGAACCCAACAGGTGCTGAAGGAGGTCCTGAGTATTGCCCTGGTGCTCCAGGACCTGAGGGATATGAGAATGAGCCTGGTGCACCTGGGCCAGACAATCCGCCACTAAAGTCAGCAGGTGCTGTGGGCTGGATGGGAGCTCCTGGGGCAGAAGCAGGCCATCCTGGGTTTGAATGAGGCGGGGGATTTCTGTCTGGTACAGAACGATTGGTATTGTCTATCTTAGGCGGGTTTGATGGTTCGTCTACTAAAGCATCTGTCAGCTAGAGAGGGAGAGAAAGTACAATTAGCCGTCTCCACCCACAACAACAGATCTGTTCAACTACAAGCTAATAATAAAAACAATATGAAGGGACGTAAATAGGTGAGTGTAAACATTTTCAACTTACCGAGAAATCCGCCATGATCTAAAAGAAGGAACAAAAACAACTCTCGTGAGTTTATAGTAACCGGTTTTAACAAGCTAGTGTCAGAATCACTGGGCAGGTCTGAGCTCTGAGTAAATGTTTCCATCCTACAACCGTGGAGATTAACAGAATCCATTTTGACAGGCTCCAAACAACTCGACATTATTTAAATATATTACAGTGGAAAGTTACACAAATGCCATGACAGTGAATAGCATATTAGCGAGGAAACAGGAACGAATTTTCTAGTAATATGTTGCAGACTTGGCTACCGATCTAGCTAACACCAGCTAACTGTTAGTAGTTTACGCTTGTTTAGCTCAGATCTGAGTACAGTAAAATGCACTAAAGCGGATTTTTGAACATACCGGACAAAAGCTGGACTTTCCTTAAACCACGGAGGGTAAGAGCGACGAATTATCCAGCACTGGAAACGGTTCAACCTGCTTGTTGTGGCTGCCGAGGCTCACAAGTGTAAGCTAACGTTAGATGTGCTTTCACAACTACAACTCCTGAAAAGGAAAGACGCACACGCGCTTAACTGATGACGTATATTACGGGGTGCGTTCCGGTGCGCGCGCGCACACAAGCGTCCACAGCGGGGGTTTTTTTGAGGGGGGGCAAAAACTTTTCATAAACCAATCTAACTTTATTTACAATGCACATTTTACACAGTTGGGTTCGGTTGGGTTAAATATAAATACACACATTACATATAAATATAATGTACATTATATACATTATATATCAAATATAAATACATACAAGCCCACGTGGATGAGCAAAAAGGTTGACTACAACGTTTAGAAAATGGGGAAAAAAGTGTGTGTGTGTGTGTGTGTGTGTGCGGGCGCGCGTGTGTAACCAGTAGAATCGATCACAGCCAGACTGAGTAAATGAAGAATGAATGATTACAGCTCCTTATTCCTGATATATATGCAAGAATAAAATGTAAATATTTATTTTTATGCTGTGAAATTAAACTGGATTATTTAAACAATGTGTTAATCGTGCGGTTGTATCATTTAAAATAACGTTTTACTGCTGAGCTGAATGTATTGGGCAGGGTTTAAGTGAAGGGGTGCCTGTTTGGGATTGGTCTAACCAGTCACAAGATGATTTGAAGTAAACGAAAAAAAAAAAACACAGAAAGCGTTCCTGCCATTCACAACAGCAGCAGAAGCGTTAGGAGGGATTTTACGCAGCAACAATGGTGAGTTGTTCTGTTTGCTTGTGAACGTGGAGTGGCGTCGTTGTCATTTTTGTGTTTTAATAACGAACTCTTCACAAATTAATTCTGCGAATTATTTATGAAAAGTCGCAGATTGTAATTGTTAGCTTGTTAGCCTAGCATTAGTTCCACCCTCTTTTTGTGTATCGTGGCAAGTTTGTCAACGCACATCGAATATGTTTCCGGTCAGTATTTTCAGAATAAAATAGATTTATTGGCCTCGGAAAGCAACATCCATGATCATTTATCAACACACATCATTTATATAAATAATCTCTGACAATTTATGTATTAATCATTACCTGTTGATTGTCAAATTTGAAATTGATTACTTATTATTCAAATGTGTGTATTTTGTGTATTCGACCCAAATGAATAATTGATGATTAAAAATATATAATATCCTTTTAATAATTTATTAGCAATAGCTGTTTCAAGGTTGTGACCAGCTATTGTGTTTTTACCGTTGAATCGGCTAGTTTGGGTAAATTTTCAAGTCCAGATGCTTTTACTGTGAAGTGCGTGGTGTCGTGTTCCTGCTATGGTGCGTAGGCAGCTTGACGCATCATTCATTTGTCTGATGATGGGTTTTAACATGCCTGGCTTCTGGGAGCTGCTTTTACGCTAACTCGCCTTTTTCTGATGAATTTCCCTTCGGGTCGTTAGGACTGTGTCGTGACACCTTGACTCTTTTCAATATAAATTTATGCTGGGTGGTTATTTCTCATTTCGTGTCATTCGGAGTGGTAGAACATTATTATTTAGATAACACAAAACCATTTCCTGTTTGTTCTATACAAGAAGTAACCCCGTGAACTATTTTACTGTAATGTAGTTTCTCCAATGGTGCATCCTTTTTTCTTATTTCTCTCCATGAACCCTGTCTCAGACATAAATCTCTTCTTAATCTGTAAAATCTTCCTCAGAGCTGAGTGAAATCCTGACTCCAACCATTCCATCTGTTCACGAAGGTGCTATTAAAGATTTCACTGTCTGCACTAAAGAGTTTTTCTCCTTTTCTCCTCCTGGTGACGAAGTAATGTAATTCTGTGTGTGTGTGTGTGTGTGTGTGTGTGTGTGCGCGTGACAAAGGTGCAGAGCAATAAAACCCTGTTCAGATTGGTGTTTTTATATTCTGGATTAAATCCTCAGGGTTAGAGATTATACTTATGCAGCCTTGGCTGCATGCGAGTTTACAGTTCATTCAGGATTTCTCGGTTCATTATGTTGTCTGTTTCACTGCCAAGTATAAGCAGCTTCCATTTGTTTTGACTCATCATCATTGAGATTAAAACCGCCGTAACAACAAGGACACAGCAAGTTCATCAGAGTTGTCTAGTCTGGCTCATTTTCTGTTGTTTCATATGCTTTAAGTACAAAACGCTGCAAAAATCATTAAAGTGTGGTGAGTGTATTAGTCCAGGAAGAAGCACGTTTTAGTAAGGATCTTGTCGAGAACGTGCAGTTTTTGTTTGTTTGCTGAGCTGAGAAATTTGAGCATTTACCATGAAAGCAGAAGTCGGAGACAATTAGCGGATGTGAAGGCACACATCCTGTTGCAGATGCCGGGTTGGGGTTAAGTTACCAGTGTTATTTTCCTTTAGATCTAACTGTTTAACTGTCTCGTTTTTGACCAGAGTGAATCACTGGTTGTGTGTGACGTGGATGAAGATCTGGTTAAGAAGCTGAAGCAGTTCCGTTTCCGGAAAGAGACCAACAACGCGGCTATCATCAGTGAGTCTCTGGCTGCTGTTTTAATCATTCTTTTGAGAAAACTTAAAAGCTTAAATGATAAATGACCAGCACTTGTATAGCGCCTCTCAGAGTAAGGACTCCAAAGCGCTTTACACTACAGTGTATCATTCATCCATTCACACACACATTCACACACTGGTGGTGATGAGCTACGATGTAGCCACAGCTGCCCTGGGGCGCACTGACAGAGGCGAGGCTGCCGAGCACTGACGCTACCGGTCCCTCCGACCACCACCAGCAGGCAACGTGGGTTAAGCGTCTTGCCCAAGGACACAACAGCAGAATTCTCTGTCCGGAGCTGGGATCGAACCTGCAACCTTCCGATTACTGGACAACCCGCTCAACCTGTTGAGCTACTGCTGCCACAATGCTGCGGTCCGTAACTTTTTCGTTCTTGTAACAGACATTTTTTCATAGCAGGAAATGCAGACGATGTGCTGAAGTGGGCAGCCGTGTTGCTTGGGTTTGTTGTGCAGTAAAATGAACTTTGCTTTCATTCCTCTTTTATTGCTTCTGTGCATCTGTAAGTGCAATTTGAAATGAGGCAGGCGTTAGCTCTACGTATGTGTGTTTGGAGGCCGGGCCGACTCAGTGAGTCATCTCCAAATGCAGCAGGTGGTGTGACAGAGGAGTGAATTGTTAGAACGGGAACAGCAGAGGCTTTCTTCTCCACCCCGTTTGCTTCAGAATGTCATTTCTGGTGAATGGGATCAGCAGCGAGTTTTCATCCCGCAGTTGGAAATCTCCATTCATTTTCTTGGTATCTGTCCCACAAGAAGCTGTTTTGGACTCCTTGCTCTGTTTTCATGCGCGCTAACTCCGTTTTTGACTGCTACTGTTGTTTCTGTCCTCCAGTGAAGATCGATAAAGACAAGCAGCTTGTTGTTCTCGAAGAAGAACACGAGGTGAGTTTTCTGTCTTTAGAGGACTGATTGGGGGAAGAGTGACTCAGATTTTAGTTCTTTATTTTGAAGTGACTCATCTCTACATGAGAGTACTCGGAACACTTCTGTCTTGTAGGATATCTCTCCTGATGATCTAAAGGATGAACTGCCTGAGAGACAACCCAGATATCCTTTCATTGACATTCTTTTCCCCCAAAAGCTTCATAAATGGTTATCCTGTAACTGTATCACATCTGCATACATTTTTATAGACGATTGTATCTCTAGATATTAGCTTCCTGTGATGTAAAATCCACAAACCGTCCTTAGCCTGAGGAACATTCGTTGTCTACAGTTATAAGTATCAACATGATGATGGACGTGTGTCCTATCCACTCTGCTTCATCTTCTCCAGCCCAGTGGGTAAGGCCATTCCTCCTGTTAGTTCACACAATGAAAGCCAAAAACACTCGAGTACACGCAGGTGTGTTTGATGTTTTCCAGGTTGCAGACCAGAGCAGCAGATGATGTACGCAGGAAGCAAAAACAAACTGGTGCAAACCGTTGAACTCACCAAGGTTTGGAAAATAATTTATTTTTTTGTTTCGTTTTTAGTAAATCTAGATCAAGTCAATGTGCAGCAAGTAAATCATTCAAAAAGAAATACCTGCACAAGTTAATGCAGCTGTTGGTGCCGAAGTCCCTGCTGAGCATCAGTGTTTGTCAGCATCTAGCAACAAGCTGCTATGGCCTTCGAGTTTTCTTCAAATTGCAAATCGCTAAAAAAGTAACAGTACGCGCTCATACAATGCATTTTGTAGATAAAATGTTAAACGTTAGGACCTGATGTCTGACATCTCTAATGAACAAGCGTTACTGATGCCAGATTTACTGCGGAGGAACAGATTTGAAGGTCCAGCATGTTTTTCTCTTGGACGCTCCAGTGATATGATTAGCTGTGGTTTACAATGTCTTAATGTATAATATTTAGGTTTGATCTTTGCTGCTACTTCAGCATTTGTAATTTGACACCAGCTGGCAAAAGCACCAGAGTTGTGGACCGAATGCTAGCCTGTAAACAGGAGCGACCAACAAGTTATTTACTGTACCCCTAAGAAGCCATGGCATCTTTTTGTTTTACTCTAATATTGAGTGAAAAAGGCTAGAAGCTAACATTGTGCTAACAAAGCTAATGGGGAATTAACCTTCTCAGGGGCCTAGTGGCAGAGCATCTGCCCTGGGACTGGGAGATCAGTGTTCAAATCCTGGTCTGGTCATACCAAAGACTTTAAAAATGGGACCCAATGCCTCCCTGCTTGACACTCAGCGTTAAGGGGTTAGATTGGGGGTTAAACCACCAAATAGTTCCCGAGCGCAGCCAGTGCTGCAGTTCACCCCTCCCTATGGGGATGGGTCAGATGCAAAGATGAATTTCACCAGTGTGTGGTGATGACTGTGAGATTTTAACTTTATAATTGACTCTAAAAATATTTCTAGCTGCTTTTTCCAATTACCAGCTACTCAATGTTGCAGTTAAATGTATTTATCTACTTATGGACCTGCTGTGTATGACTCGTGTTCACTTGTCATCTAGGATCTTCTGGCGCTGTGCCGTAATAACCGGCAACAGTCAGGACACTCACAGAACAGCAGTGAGAAAATCACTTGTGTGTTCTGAAAAGACTGCAGTACCCAAATATGAATACATGATGTCATTCTTACATCATGCACCTTTAATTCTCTGTTTACATTTTTAAGCTGTTTGTTTTTGCTACAATCTGAATAATGCTGTAGTTTCTGTACCACTGAGTACACACTGGTCAGTAGCTTCATCACTAAATCACTTCATCAAAACTAAAGTTCTCCTTTTTAATTCTAAAAAAACCCACAATTTTTTTTTTGTTTAACAAAAAATGAGAATTTTTTCCCCCTAAAAAACATGACAGTTCAAACATCTTGAGTTTCTTTTTGACAGGTGTTTGAGATCAGAAACACAGAGGACCTGACAGAAGAGTGGCTCAGAGAGAAACTGGGATTCTTTCGCTAAGGTCGTGACCTCCTCCAGAGGTACGGGACGCGAGGAGGATCCAGATCACACAAATCGTGTCGTCTTTCAAAGTGAATACATTGACATTAATTTTTCCCCTCCTCTTTGTGTGGACCTGATTTGAATAGTTTTTGCAAATAGTCTTTTTACAGCTTATCTGGGTGACGTTTACACAACCGTACAGTTCAGTGTGTGCCAGAAGGCATCACTAATTATCATTCTTCTATATGACGGTCCGTGGTCGCGCCGCCGACTAAACCTCAGCCATCTGGTCGCCTAAATCTGCAAATACTATTTGAAGCAGGCCCACTTTGTTTCCGTACCACTTCTCCATGTGCCAGTGACGTGTCGGTGTTGAATCAACGCTCCCATGGTGGCAGAAGTCAGTCGTATGTATCCGCCCCCTCACAGCACGCTCATTCAGCGTAACAATCGTTTCTAGTTCCTGGGAAAAAAATGTACTCTTCACCTTTTGTTTCCAACTCAGAACCTCAGTTTCACTGTTTTTTTTACATTTTTATTTTTTTTAAATATTAGAGCGTTAGTTTTTCCTCTCAGAACTGTAGAACAAATAACACAACTGAGCGCCGTCAGTCGTACCTTTAGTGTTTTCTTTTAGGTTATTAAATGCTAAAAGACCGGTTCCTGATATGAGCTCATTTTCTGCTCTGTTGGTTTGTTGCAGGACTTTATTCAAAGAAAACCACTAAAATGAACAGTGGGATTGTTACAGGGAACAACTAGCCAAACATTCCAAACGCTATTTCTACACTTTAAAGAGCAAGTCACCCCCTACCAGAGTTTTACTCCACTCCCACTTCCAGTTTGAAAAATACAACAAATGCTGTTGCCTAGCAGGCCGAGAGGGTGAAGTTGCTAATACACACACGGCATTGTGACATCATATGGTACCAGCTAACATTCCAGGGTACCTCTTAGCCAATAGATGGCAGATTTAAATTCAAATGCATTGCAGAGTTTTTACCTGACAACGGCACAAAACTGACCGTTTTAGGCAGAAAATTTAAATTTTAATTAAAATGCACTAAAGTGCTAAACTATTGACTACACGTGTCTGCAGCACGATTAGACACGCATTTATATAGTTTATCAGAAAAAAAAGTTAATTTGGGGGTGACTTGCTCTATATTATTGGTTCTAGTGACATCCTCTGGGCTAATCTTGTGCATTATAGCTTTAATAGTGGTGAATTTTGTTTGTTATGAAAAACAACTTTGACCACTTTATGGTCATGACATCCATGTGAATGATGCTGCGACTCTTCCAAACGCCAATTGTGCTTCATTTACAGTGGTGTGAAAACTATTTGCCCCCTTCCTGATTTCTTATTCTTTTGCATGTTTGTCACACAAAATGTTTCTGATCATCAAACACATTTAACCATTAGTCAAAGATAACACAAGTAAACACAAAGTGAAGTTTTCAAATGATGGTTTTTATTATTTAGGGAGAGAACAAAATCCAAACCTACATTGCCCTGTGTGAAAAAGTAATTGCCCCCGAACCTAATAACTGGTTGGGCCTCCCATAGCAGCAATAACTGCTATCAAGCGTTTGTGAAAACTTGCTACGAGTCTTTTACAGCGCTCTGGAGGACTTTTGGCCCTCTCATCTTTGCAGAATTGTTGTAATTCAGCTTTATTTGAGGGGTTTCTAGCATGAACCGCCTTTTTAAGGTCCTGCCATAACATCTCAATAGGATTCAGGTCAGGACGTTGACTAGGCCACTCCAAAGTCTTCATTTTGTCGTTCTTCAGCCATTCCGAGGTAGATTTGCTGGTGTGTTTTGGGTCATTGTCCTGCTGCAGCACCCAAGATCGCTTCAGCTTTAGTTGACGAACAGATGGCCGGATGTTCTCCTTCAGGATGTTTTGGTAGACAGTAGAATTCATGGTTCCATTTATCACAGCAAGCCTTCCAGTTCCTGAAGCAGCAAAACAACCCCAGACCATCACACTGCTACCACCATATTTTACTGTTGGTATGATGTTCTTTGTCTGAAATGCTGCGTTACTTCTACACCAGATGGAACGGGACATTTGCCTTCCAAAAAGTTCAACTTTTGTCTCATCAGGCCACAAGGTATTTTCCCAAAAGTCTTGGCAACCATTGAGATGTTTCTTAGCAAAATCGAGACAAGCCCTGATGTTCTTTTTGCTTAACAGTGATTTGCATCTTGGAAATCTGCCATGCAGGCCATTTTTGCCCAGTCTCTTTCTTATGGTGGAGTCGTGAACACTGACCTTAATTGAGGCAAGTGAGGCCTGCAGTTCCGTAGACGTTGTCCTGGGGTCTTTTGTGACCTCTCGGATGAGTTGTCTCTGTGCTCTTGGGGTAATTTTGGTCGGCCGCCCACTCCTGGGAAGGTTCACCACTGTTCCATGTTGTTGCCATTTGTGGATGATGGCTCTCACTGTGGTTCGCTGGAGTCCCAAAGCTTTAGAAATGGCTTTGGTCTTGAATTTCTTTGGATCTTGGCATGATGTCTAGCTTTTGAGGTGCTTTTGGTCTACTTCTCTGTGTCAGGCAGCTCATATTTAAGTGATTTCTTGATTGAAACAGGAGTGGCAGTAGGGGTGGCTACAGAAATTGAACTCAGGTGTGAAACACCACAGTTGGGTTATTTTTTAACAAGGGGGGCAATTACTTTTTCACACAGGGCAATGCAGGTTTGGATTTTGTTCTCTCCCTAAATAATAAAAACCATAATTCCAAAACCGCATATTGTGTTTACTTGTGTTACCTTTGACTAATGGTTAAATGTGTTTGTCACACAAAATGTTTCTGATCATCAAACATGCAAAAGAATAAGAAATCAGGAAGGGGGCAAATAGTTTGTCACACCACTGTGTTTTTAGGCAGATTCATGCTTTCCACACAGAACCGACCAGATTGAGACGCTCAATCCCTTCAATGATTGTATTTATCTCTAAAATCCAGCAGATTTTAAATTGACATGATGGACGTCATCTGTGTTAGAATGAAAAGAGAAAGAGGCCAGAAGCTGATTTTAAGCCTCCCCTTGACTTCAGGGATTTCTGAAAACTGAGATTTTCTGTTTGCATCTGCCGCCCACGAGGTTTTGAAGAGAAAACTTTGGCATTGAGTAATGTGGATACCTGGTGGTGCTGAGGAGGTATTTGATCATCTTGATGGAATAACATCGACAGAAGTAGAGCCGACGAGCCTAAAACATGATTCCTATCTGCTAAATCTACAAATGCCTTTTTAAAAATCATTTTCATATGTTAGAGTCAAAATGATGTCATTTTGTTTATTGAAGCACACAAACAAATTTTGTAACATTTTTTCTGAAACCTCTCCAAAGGTAAAAAAAAACGTTCCGTTTTATAGTAAAAATATTCTTAGTTCCAGGAAAACGGCTCAAAACTACGTAGGCACAGACGGCTTTATTTACTGATGTTACCCTCTACACACATCTTGAAACCTACCTTTAGCTCGTTTTTCTGTCTGCTGGTATTATTAAAGCTCCGTCTCACCATGCAGGTCCGCCTGCATCGTGGAGCGAAATTTAGCTTAAAACAAACTTTTGTAAACACTGGAAATCCTTTTTGCCAGGTGCCAAACAGGCCAACTCTGAAACATCCAGTTTGATGGTTTAATGTGTGTTAATCTTGACTTTCTAAATTCTGATCTCTCAAATGTGTACGACTACTGTATGTCAAGTGCATTCTGGAATAAACCGCTTCCATATTCATATGATGCACACAAGACTGAATCATTCATACGGTTTTATTTACACGAGAACCTAAACATCACTCCATCTGGATCATCTGGAGCTTCAGCTAAGATGCAGGACTATCTAAGATCAGGTTTTTTTTCTTGGTTGAATAAATCACCATGGCAACCACATTTTGATCAGTCAGTTCTTAGACAGCACGTGATAAGTTCATCAATCAAGTTCTTAGTGAAACCATTCAGTTTGATTTTCAATTGCAAAAAGTCTATGAGTAAATCTCAACTGAAAATAATTTTTTTGACTATTTATTTTTTAATGAACTTTGCAACCAGTCAGCTAATTAAATTTGATTGTGTTTTTCTTATTTTGGGTTAATTGAAACATCCAGAAATCTGAAAGAATAAGACTGAAAATCTCTCCCAGGTCACAATGTCGTGTTCTGAACTGCATTATTTACTCAATCGAGGAGATTCCAGTGTTGTTTTTGTTCAGATTTCACTCATTTTCTTCATGGTACAGATCTCTGGTGTGAGACCACACTTGATACGTGGTGTCTCAGGACCATAAATGACACTTTTTGTTTGTTTTGAGCCTCATATCCTGTGGATTTTATAGCTTATCCTGTGTTTAAATTGCTGAATATTTGGCTTTGTGAGTTTTTTTTTTCCACTTTAACCTAGAAATGTGTCATTTAGCTTGAGAAGAGTCCTCTGATTAAATGCTTGAGTATTTTCTTTATTGTTTACTAAAAACACCTGAAACATCTTGGATAACCAGCTGTCTCCAGGCATCAGTGAAATTTGACATTTGTACAAAAGTGTGTCTTGTCTAAATAAAATGGCAGTTATGTCAAATCCTCTGCTCTCCAAAGACTGCTTTTTCATCTGAAACTAATACGGTACATGTTATTCATACTGCTGGAGGGGGAAAAAAAACCACTTCCACCTTAAAAAAAGTGTTGAAATGGCTTCAATTTTATGGGGCATTTAGTTCTAAACTAGTGTGTGTGTGTGTGTGTGTGTGTGTGTGTGTGTGTGTGTGTCTGTGTGTGTGTGTGTGTGTGTGTGTGTGTGTGTGTGTGTGTGTGTGTGTGTCCCGAGCAATAAAGATACATTTATTGAGTTGTAATAGTTACGTCGTTCCTAAAATTGATGACATTCTGGCTTTCTTGTTATCTATACTAATATGCTTTACTAATTCTGCTGCCAGGCTGCAGAAATGTGAAAGTATGTTTTATTTTGTAATGGTGTAGAGGAAGTGTTAATTGGTTATGTTTATGTAGCTGTATGTAAACACTAATAACGGTTTATTTCGCTAGAGGGCAGAAAAATCCTTACACTCGTTTATAAATCAGAGTATGTTGCCAACTCAAATGACCGATTACAAAAAAGTAAATAAAAAGTTGATATAGCACACAAGAAAACAGCAATAATTGCGTAATTTCCATCATTTGATAGTTATTTTGTGTATTTTTCATTTGTGTATTTTGTCTAATTTTCAGGTTTAATAAAGTTACAGTCGTTTGAATTAAATACTACACACAGCGGCCACAAGGTGGCAGTAAAGAACGCATGTAGGTAAACATTTACTGAAGAAGAAGTAGAACAAGAGGAAGAGCAACTCACAACCACCGTGAAAACGGTAAAGCTGCCTGCATCATCCGTTGACCAAGACGAGATTGACCAGATAGACCGGAGGAGAAAAATGGCGTTCACATTCGCGGCCTTTTGCTACATGCTTGCATTGCTGCTCACAGCAGCTCTTATCTTTTTCGCTATCTGGCACGTAAGTAAACAATTACAACAACCGGGTCACCGTGCCGGTGAAACGTTGATAGAATGAGGTGAAGCAGTTGGAGCGTGGGACTGACTCAAGGCCAGAGCCCGGTAGCTTCAAAGCAAGGACGGGCTTTTACTCAAGAACCCGTTAATCTGTCGCTAATTTAACCCACGAATATTTAATGATTAAAAGTTAGCTCTGTTGAATGGCACGAGACATGTCGGCGGCTTGAAGTTCGCATGTAAACGTCATGGTGAATTGTATTTATATCATATAATAATTAACATATTTTACGTGGTTTCTGTTTTATAATCAATCAGGTAACCTCAATAAACTTCCATAAACCCGTCAAGCTCTCCAGTACTGTGAACCTGGATTGTGCTAATAGCTAGTAGGCTAGTTCGTATGTAGCAGGCTAAGCTAAGGTTTCCATTAACTAAACGAAAAGATAAGCAGCAGTAGAATGATAACTACTTCATCCACCACATGACCTAAACTCCTTGTGTTGCTGTGCATAACAGAGAGACAAAACGAGACAAATGTATTTTCAGTGTAAAAAAAGTCATTTGGGGGAGAAAATAATGAATGTTTGTGTACAGCAATTACAATTAGGGAATGTAGGTTGCCACTTTTGTAAAAAAAATAACAAAAATTGCTGTTGTAATTTGTTAAATAACATTGAGATCATCTTTGTTCCTGTAGATAATAGCTTTTGATGAGCTGAAGACTGACTACAAGAATCCTATAGATCAGTGTAACACATTAAACCCGGTGAGTAGCTCTTCTGCGCCTCACACATGTTTTATCTATTTGACTGCATGCAGATGTGCTGTTATTTAATGTAACTTCATGTGCAAGTCTTTTCTTTCCATCGTTTCTCTGCACCGTTTTGCTAAACAACTTGCCTGTTCTGAATTCAGTGATCTTGTGAGCTGTTAGACTCTAATGCCCTTTTTACTTTGTTTTCCCCAATCTGCTTCTTTTGCACTTTTAATGACCAAAAAAGACAATTGATGAGGTCAAAAAGATTAAAAGGGTCAAAATTGCATTAAAGGTTTGTACCAATCTTTAAAATGCCCGCTGAGTTCAACTTAGCCTGAAAGTCTTGTCGTTTTGCACGGTGAAGTGTTTGCCAATGTCTTTTCAGTTAACTAATCAGAGTTCAGGTTGCTTTTAGATAACACCACTCACTGCCTAATCAATGTTATTAGTTTAATTTTCCATTAGAATTAAAGTTTGTGTTGACTTTGTAAGTTTCAGCAACATTAGGGTTCTCACCTTTGCTCTAAACTTTAAAATACAGACTAAGATGTCCAGGTTTATTCCCATTAAAGATTATAGTAAAATATTTTAATATTGACAGATAGCAGTATATTAATGGTTGAAACTCCTAGTACTTTGTCATAAAGATAGCTGTTAACTGGAAAGACTTGCAAATGCTCAAAGCATGCATGATATCTCTAAATATTCTTCCCTTTGTATGCATTTGCTGTTAAAAAGTCTGTTACACATGTTTGTTATTTCAGCGTTGGAGGGTCTAATTTAAGCCAACATGGAGCAGGTCTGAGCTGCTGTATATGCGCTCGGGTGTTCTGGCTCCACACACACCTCCTGTAGTTCTGAACAGATGGCAGCAGAGTGCTAACACTCTCCAGCTCAGCGTTATTTACGATCACTGATTGGTTTGTGATTTCCACAGTAGGAGGAGTTAAAAGTAGGGATTTATCTCTCATTTGCTGCAGCCAGAATGTTGCTGGTTGACCAAATTTAGTCTTCTCTTTGTGCTCTGGTCAAGTTTTGCATTTGGCAGCACAGTGCAGTTTAAGATTTTAGCACAATGCACCTCTTCTAACTTTCCCCTTTTAATTTGCCTCTGCTCGTGCACTTTTCAAATGCATGGCTTCCATGTGGTGCCTCAATCTGCCCCGAGAGCATCGCTCTAGACCCGACCCGACCGTAGGCAGGCTGATGCATCAGCTGGTTGTCCCAGCATGGTCCTCGTCCAGCGTGACTCTCTTTATTTGTCCTCACTGACAAATACGGTGGATGTTGAGATGCACAAATTCCCCAGAGCAATCTGTTCATGGATTTGCTTCTTAACTTGTGGACAGACGTGGTGCATGACACAAAACAAGGGTGGGAAATTAATCCTTCAGTTTTATTTGCAACAATGAATCTCTAAATTGTGCAAACTGCAGGTATTTGGCCCTGATCTTTACTTCACGTGTAGTTTTTAGGATTTACAGATCTGACGAGTCGTTGACAAAATGCGAATGAAATGGTGAAGCTCAAATCTGAATAAACACAAATCACTGGTGAAAAGCTTTAATTTTTCACCCTGCATCAGTTCAGACAATGCCAAAGCAGTGCTGATGGTGTGTTTTTGTACAAACTGCTCTATTAGTCATTCCTCTATAGCTCGTTTATATTCTTGGTCAGGCTCTTTGCAGGTGGATGTCTGCCATATTTGTCTACTTGTTGTGTTTTTGTTTTATTTTGACCCTGATGAGTGTCAGTTTAGTTTTGTCACTGAATTTGTTTCTCGTGATTTCACACTTGGTGCTTTGTGAGGACAGTAAAGCTCACATCTACACAAAAACACTCCTCAGAAAAGGAGACGTGGGATTTTAAACGTCCTGTGTCTTTGTGTCCCTCCAGCTGGTGCTTCCAGAGTATCTCATCCATTTCTTCTTCTGTGTGATGTTCCTTTGTGCGACTGAGTGGCTCACGCTCACACTCAACTTGCCGCTGCTGGCTTATCATGTCTGGAGGTTTGTAGCTGACCAAACCAAGATCCTACATGATGCTTGTTATAAATGAACGCTGTTTAATCCCAATCTGTGCCGCAGGTATACGAGCAGACCAGTGATGAGCGGTCCTGGACTCTATGACCCAACCACCATCATGAATGCTGACATCCTAGCCTACTGTCAGAAGGAAGGCTGGTGCAAACTGGCTTTCTACCTCCTGTCATTCTTTTACTATCTTTATGGGTACGTCTTCTCTTCTAGTCGTCTTTTTACTCCAGATTATTTTCTTATTTAGGTTACGATGGATGTTTGTCTTTTGCGCCATTTCACAATAAAAATAAGAGGAGCATTTTACAATTATTGAATCTTTTTTTTTTACCCTTTCACCTTTACCAGCTGATGCAGCCTGAGGCACTTCCTGCTGGAATATCAGATTATGCCACCATAGGAGCTGTGTAAACAGTATCGCTTTGTGTGAACTGTTAAAATGATCCACTTTGTCTGAACTACACTAGCTGTTAGCTTGTCAATCTTTAATGGCTTTGTTTGACTGAGCGTGGAAGTTTCTTGTGTCATTGCTGATGATGTCACTGGTACAGGTGAGATGTACCTGAACCGGTTTGACTAACGAGCTGACCTGTGTTACAGGATGATCTACGTTCTGGTGAGCTCCTAAACATGAACCTCCACTCCGAGACCTGACACTGATCCAGGTGCTGGACCTGCTGGAGACCACCACCACGCTAAACACAGAGCAGAGTCATTTCTGAAGCATTAATCTCCACCTGGTCGCAGCGTTCCTCACATAGCTCTACTGTTTCAACACCTCACAGAGGACAAGTCTGAGTAGACGCATTTATTTTTTATAATGAATTAAAAGGTTCTTTTGTCATGGTGGTTTCCAGATTAGGTCGGTTTTCTGGTGTTTTTTTCTGTGAGAATCTGAGCTTTTCCCGTGTTCGCCCGCAAACACCAACTCAACGTTTTTAAACAGGCGGTGCACCGACAAGTGAGGTGCGGTTTTTAAGTTTTCATACTTGTGTAATCTGTAATCCATCCCACTGGCAGCATCTCTCTGTGAGGATCCAGAGAACACCACCTTGTGTTTGTAGAGTAGCTGTTCAGGTGTGGAGGAGAAAGGTAAATTCAACATTTCTGAGGCTTTAGTAGTGAGCGGTAGTGTTGAATGTACCTTAGAAATTCTAATTTCGACCCAAAATATTCCACGCTGTCAGACTGGTTTTATCTTATTTCTCCCATCAAACCGAGCGCTCCCCGCTTCACTCACCCTCTGAGATCTGAAAGGTTGTTTTCCATTTCTCTTAGTCGGGTATTTATTGTTGCTGACGTGTGAAACGATCAGGGAAGATTATTATTTTACATGTTTGTGTGTAGGAACCCATCACGCCACAGCTAGAAGATTTGAGTCTAAATAAAACGATCCCACTCCAAACCTGTTTTAAGTGATTTAATCCAGATTACAACCAAACAAAATCACACAAATTGTGCTCAGGAAATAAAGAATCGGGTATTTTATTATAAACATTAATTCTCCATTAGAAAAAAAGAGGTGAAACTTGCAGGCATGTCACACAAATGCAGATCAAACAATATATTCAATTTTAAAGTGCGGCTTTTAAAGAAACTAATCACAGAGACACGGGGCACCCCTGCAGAAAACAAAAACTTGAATAAAACAGCAGTTCTACACAGAAACTTAAATAACCTGTGAGACAAAATCTCTAAAAGCTTGCATAGTTTATATCGCGGTGCGATGGGATGGAATATGGATACAGGAGGTGGAAAGTTCCCACCTTCACCGTTTGGATTGCTGCTGCTCCTCGGCGTTCCCGAAGAATCTCGATGGCTTCGTTGGCCGTCATCGTTGACAGCTGAAGCAGCAAACGGGCAGCGACTGAAGGAAATGCACAGAAGATAAATAAAACAAAGCATTATAGTTAGGAGTGGGTTGTTCTTACTCAGAGAAGATCGTTCCAGGCCTCCGTAGCAACTAAGGAGAGAAAAACCATTTATCATGTTAGGTGTCAAAATAAAAGTTTTTGCTGTGATTTGCAGTCTGGGACTTTTATTCTAGCAGGTTTGCAGCATTTAAAAGAAATGTTTATTTTTAATCCATTTTGAGAGCATTGCCCTTTCGATGGTCGCGCTGGAGCTCACCAGGTGAGTCAGGCTCCATTTCCAAAACTAAGACATTTCAATCTGCTGTGGACAGGGGTAACCTTGAAACAAACCAAAACACACGATAACTACAAGTCAAAATACAAACCGGATTACAAAAAAGTTGGGACACTACAAATCGTGAATAAAAACTGAATGCAATGATGTAGAGGTGCCAACCTCTAATATTTTATTTAGAATAGAACCTAAATCATGGAGCAAAAGTTTAAACTGGGAAAATGTATTATTAAAAATACGTTGATTCAAAATTTCATGGTGTCAACAAATCCCAAAAAAGTTTGGACAAGGCCATTTTCACCACTGTGTGGCATCTCCCCTTCTTCTTACAACACTCAACAGACGTCTGGGGACCGAGGAGACCAGTTTCTCAAGTTTAGAAATAGGAATGCTCTCCCATTCTTGTCTAATACAGGCCTCTAACTGTTCAATCGTCTCGGGCCTTCTTTGTCGCACCTTCCTCTTTATGATGCGCCAAATGTTCTCTATAGGTGAACGATCTGGACTGCAGACTGGCCATCTCAGTACCCGGATCCTTCTACGCATGCATGCCATGATGTGATTGACGCAGAATGCGGTCTGGCATTATCTTGTTGAAAAATGCAGGGTCTTCCCTGAAAGAGATGACGTCTGGATGGGAGCATATGTTGTTCTAGAACCTGAATATTTTTCAGCATTGATGGTGCCTTTCCAGACATGCAAGCTGCCCATGCCACACGCACCCATGCAACCACGTACCATCAGAGGTGCAGGCTTCTGAACGTTGATAACAACTTAATAACAAATCCAAAAACACTGAAATGTTTGTAAATATCTACCTCACCATCAAACACGCTGGCCTCCCCGCTGCTCTCAGTCCAGTCAAACTCAGTTTGAAAAGGCTCCCCCGAAGCTCGAATCCAATCAGATTCAAGCACCTGCTATTAACCACGCCCATAAATAAACCGATCATTTTAGGACAAGCTTGATTTGTAGCCTGGGTTGTCAAGGCAGGTGGAGTTAAGAGGGCATGGGTTTATTTAATGCCTATGATGGTAACCTGCGATTTTATTTCCAAAACATTCCAAATGCAGCAGGGCAGCCAACTTTCACGCAAGGAGTGTGAGACACGCTCTCGCGCCACGCTCCCTATTTCTCACGGTGAAAAAAGTTAACCAGAGCCACACATTGCGTCGCACTACTTGACCAATGACTGTAAAAATACAGAATCCCCTAACTACAGTGCTAGAAGTAAAGATTGACCTGGGGGATTGACGAAAAAGAAGAGCTAGCAACAGCCTTTAATTCCTATGTTTAGGTCATTAACCCTACAGTAACATTGAATCATCTCTGGTTTCAAAGGTAAGTTCAGGTGAGGACAAAGATGGAAAATCTTCATATGAGAAGTCAAGTGTGGATGAAGCTCATCCAAGCACATCCTCTAGGGTCTCGTACGGGTACGACACACCTTTGCATCATCAGAGGGAAAATAAGGGATTAAAGATAAATTATCAGTGACTACAGAAAATAATTCAGGAGTAAATAAAAGTGGAAGCTCGGTCACAGGAGCCAGTTCTCTGGTTTCTGGCAGACATACAGAATCCTCACAAGAAACTAACTCTAAAGCGTCAGTCACATCTGGAAAATACCTGAAGGGACACCTGACTTTCCAGGTTGTCTCCATCCTCCACTGGAAGGACAAAGTAGGAACAAGCAGTGGCTGGTTCCAGGTCTCGTGATGTTTCAACTGCACTTTCATCTTCCTGGAAGTAAATTTAATGTGTGGTTTATCTAAATGTGTCTCGTTTGTCTACAGGATCAACTTCAGCAGTCGCTGGAGAAAGCAGCCTTTCAGCCAGGACGTGAAGGATCTGAGGCAGCTGTCCCCGCAGCACCAGACATCCTCACTAGAGGCGCTCCACTCCCTCATCCTGACATTTGCTCCTAAGCATACAGGTTCTCAGACCCTGGCATGAACACCAGGCAAGTTTTATTCTGCTGGAATTTCACTTTGTTATATATTATTCAAAGGTGTTGTGTTGTAAGTCATTATTTAATCAGTTAAAACTTATTTGTGTTCTGCGGTTTCAAACGGTGTCTAAATCTGTTCAAATATTTCACTCTTGCTGTCAGCCCTTCATTACAGCAGCAACGGTAACAGGAAACGGCCAGACCGTCCTTGGTTCTGCCATTACGCACAAGTGAATCATGGATCCGTGGCGTCCTTAAGATTCTGGGGGATTGAAAAAGTGTCCACACCCTCTGGAGGGGGAGACATGATCAGCCTTCTGCTACGGAGAGAGGCATACTGGATTCATACCCTCAACACCATTGAACCTGCAGGGGTGAACGAAGCACCTAGTCTGTCCTGCTTCCTCTAGTCAGGTGTTTTACTGTTTTATCGTTAGCATCAGTTTGATGTGTTTCATCATGGTTATTAAACACATCTCTGTATGTTTGATATGAGGGTTTTAACTGCTTTAGAATATTTATTTTAGGCTCATTATGTTATGGATGAGCAGGAAAGTCATCTTTTTGATAACTCTGGGTTGGATTGAATGGATACTTATTGACTAATATTTCGGCGCTGACCCCGCCTCTTCCCCAGCCCAACAACCAATGAGCTAAAGGCTAGTATGTTTTCTGTCTAATCAGCCTCTAAGGTCTAAGGCTGAGCGGGTCAGAAAATAACTCTTTTAGCTCCGTTGACTTGCATTCATGTTTTCCTTCTTCCGGGACCTCATGGGCCGACCGGAAAGGGAGGAGCCTTACACCGGGGCCACACCGGTGTTGTGCCATAAATCGACTCGCTGCCAAAAACTGATTAGCCACCGCGGGATCGCGCACGGTTAGGGCAATTGCATTTCTAGACGAAATTCCCCAGGATTTCGCCCTAAAACTCAGCAAATCTAGCAATATGGACATTCAGAAAGCAGAAAGCAGAGGTAACCTCTTCCGGTACTTAAACAGATGTTTATCGCGGATATCAGTTTTTCCAGTTCGGAAGTTGTTTTAAGTGTTGCTATTTGTCTTAAGCGTTCACAATGAGGATATATTAATCCTTTTTGCAATATTTGCGATTGAAAGATGGTTTGTGGTAAGATTTGGCTTTCTTCATGTTACAGCCTTGATACAAAAAATTAAATAAACAATGTAAAATGGCGCCCTGTATTGAATGTAAACGTTGTATAAATGGAAATAAACATTTCTCCAGTGATTTGATTTATCCCCCCTTCCTTTCTTTAGTCTACTTGACATGGAGCCACGGTTAACTAGTTTGGGGCACATTTTTACTTGAAAAAAAGTATTTAAACTGATCAAGCTTTGGCTTTAATGACACTGTGTAGGTTACTATCTATACATTACGTTGCTCTATTTAAAAGAAACAAGATAAAAGCAGTTCAGCACATAAAATTAAGATTGTCACTTGCCAAATAGAGACTTCACCCTCCTGTTTACCTATAAGAAACGCCTAAAATATCTTTAAATTCTTTTTTGATGATTTAATTGTAGACAACTAAAATGGCATTTTACTTGCCAAAAAGTGATTGAATCGCTCAGATTTTCATGGAGGCTAAAATTGACCAAATAAGGGTTTTATGTATTATCTGTTGCCCACTGAACTTTGGTGCACACTGGATCCTTGTGGTACATGTTAACACCTCATGTGTTTTTTTCTCTTTTTTGTTTTATTATTCTTTTAGCAGCATATTCTTATTTTGAAAATGTTTGCAACTGATTATGTTTACTTAAGTGAGTGTAATAAACATTCTACTAAATACGATTTTCATTTTAGGTTGTCAAAATCTCCTCACAATCTGTACTGCTGTTAGACCCTCTTGGAAATGAAGGTTGTTATGAAAGGAAAATTTTGCGTAACTGGAGGTATTCATCATTCATTAATTATCTGTTTTGGGTTGTTTGGTTTGTGTTTTTATTTTAGAGCAAAGTGCTTGCAAAAAACTTGTTTTGTTTTTATTAGGAATTTTCTGAAGATGAAAGGAAATGAAGAGTTCCGAGTGGATTGGAAAATGGAGAGACTGCCACACAACAAGCAGATGGACTCCAGCAGTTGTGGAGTTTTAGTGTTGAAGGTATTTAATAAGCAATTGCATTTAATTGTATTTATTGGATTTAACTAGAATTAAGTTAATTGCAATTACTGTAACATATTTTACAGTTTGCCGAACACTACCTTATGAGTGGAGAGGTTACTAGGGTGCTGTCCACTCCAGAAGCCATTGGGCTGCAACGCGCAGAAATTGCTTGCAAACTGCT